TTTTGTTTACCAGTTCTTTATAAATCATAAATAACATCACCTACTGTGAAAGTTTGCTGTGGGGGCCATGCAAGGTGCTGTGTGGAAAAGGTCCTAGCTTAACCTTTTCTTTTTTTTTTTTTTTTTTTCTCTCTGTATCACTAGCACAGAGGCTTTTTACCAGTGGAACTTCATTAATCCGTTTTCCTTGGAAACTGAAAATTTATATTTAGTTGGTCTTTAGAAAGGTTTGTTTACATATGTATGGTTTTATAGTACTGCTACATAGCCCCTTAAAATATTTCCTCTGTGTAGATGAAGGTGTTTGATCAAATCACTCTACAAGCATGTTGTCAGTTTGTACTTCTGCACAACAAAAGATTATTCAGACAACTTTAAAGTAGCTTTTTCTCTAGTTTTTACAGTGGAGCAAATGAATTCTCATTGCTATACTAATTTAAAACTGAAATATTTTTTATATCCATATACAGGAAATAGAGGGCTAAAAGGAAAAAAAAAAAAGTCTGTTAATCTTTAATCAGATTTCTTTTCCAGCTGCCTGAACAAGTTGATTCCAGTGCAATTTGCACAGCTGGGCAAGCTGGGAGGTGGTAGGAAGCATTTTGAGTAGGTGGCCTTTTACCACAATATGAAATAAAGTGAAGCAGATAGTCAATCTGGAAGGGGTTAGTTTTGTTTGGGGTTTTTTTGACCCAAAGTTGTTAAATAAACACTATCCTTACATGTATGTATGTTTCTGTTGAAAATTTGAAGGGTTATTTTGTCAACTTGTGGCTTGTTTCTGTTGAATCCCTAGATAGGCTTGTGTAATTCAGCACAGAGCATCAGCTCAGTAATTCTATGAGCTCATTGAGAAGACATGACTTGGAAAAGAGGCATTAAAAATCCACTATAATTAAGTTATGCTGAGGCATCAGAACATGCACAATAAAGTTAACTTTAAAAATTGGATAAATTCAGCAAGAGAAATATCCGTATCAGGAACTCTAGAAGGGCACATTCATTGGTATTTACATACATATAAGCTGGTACTTAAATGTAGCGGTGCCCACATTAAATAGCAATAACAGAGTACATGTGAATGGATTGTTACGTTTTTAAATACTAGATATACAAGAACAGGTCATCTGGGAAGAGATTTAATACAGAGGCAGTAGTGAGAGCATCTGTGAATGTTTCCTGCAGAATAGTTGAATAATACTGTGTATTGATGAATTACAGTAAGATCCCATCTACCTGCAAATTAGCCACTTCAGTAAATAATGCCATGAAACCTTCATTATTAGTAGGCAAAACTCTAAAACATGATGCTCCCAGTATCACCGAATGCATCTGATACGTTCCTATGTCAGTTTTTCTCAGCAGTGACATGAAATAAATTTCAGATCTGTAACAATGTGCAGAATTTCTATTTAGATTATATTTAAATTCAGTTTACTTTCAAATTCACGATTACAGTTTATCAGTATAAAGACTTAAATATAAGCTACATTAAAAACATTTTCATTATAAAATCCAAATAGCACAGTTTTGCTACTAGGTATTCAAGATCCCTCGGCTAGTTGAAGTCTGTAACCTGTACCTAGAATTTGTTTAAGTGCAAAGCCAGATTTTTGTACCCCCCTTCTGCAGAACAGAATTTTTTTTCTTCATTTCACTGTAAAAATACATATGTGCATTTCAGTTCAGTAGCTAAGTTATTCAAAGTTGAAAAGCTGCTTGAGAATTATAACAACAGATACCATTTTTTCCTTCTACAACAGTTCTACAAACTTAAAAGATATGGTTCATTTTACTAGTGGATATAATACTGGCATTGTGAATAAAATGATTCAAATTCAAGTTAAAAAGCAGGTTTCATAAAGCAGGTTTTGTCCTCTGTGCCTTTGGAGGATTTTGCTTAAATACATGTAGAATGGTAGAGTTCTCCTCCTAGATTGGAAGGAAAAGTGCTAAATTTTTCATTATGATGACATATAAGCAAAAAGCAATGTATTTTAATGGGTAACAAGCAAGAGACTTGGTCTTTCCTTGAAGATAAGAACTATAAAATCAAAGTCAAATTAGTATTAATTTTAAGTAAGTTATCTTTTTCACTGATTTAAAATCTAAATGCTGGTTTCACTAGACAAAGTGTTTCTGCTAATTCTACATGGATATATATCCTAGACAAAGTGAGAAGAAAAAATGCTATGTTATGTATGTCCCCTCGGAGATATCTTCCATTTGTTTCCCAGAAGTATAGGTTAATTTTCCTCTAAATAAAAATGTATACCTAGAATTTGTAAAGGGAGAAAGTTGTTTAAAAATGTCTGGCTATTACAGTGTAGAAAGTGAGAAGTTATTTTCACTGTATATACCAACATCAACACCAAGGAGTAACTAATATTAAATGATAAAAAACTAAAGTCAGATTAGAATAAAAGAACACAGTCCTTGTTAAAAATAGGTATCTTAATTTTTAACTTTTGAAATTATCTGTCTTCCATCTCTTAATTTCTCTTCTGTTTTTCTTCTTCCACTCCAAAATCTATGTCCTTTTTGCACACGTGTGTGTGTGTGTGTGTAATTTGTGTAATTGTGTTGAGGATTTTCACTGTGAAATGAACCCGGATATCGAGACTTTTCCTGTATTCAGAGTAAAGCATACTGTCTTTTCCTCTAACTTGTTTCTGACAGCAGTCAGTGCTTTATCAAAGCAAGTAGAATTGTTCTGTGGTTTAGCGTTTGAGGACTGATCTGACAACCCAAATTGACACCATGTAGAAAATTCAATATTGGGTTCTTGAATGTTCCAGTATTTGCTTTGTGTTAGCTTCTAGGTACTTCATAGTCTTCTCTTCCATTATGTTCCTTGTCCTGCCTAATGTTTGAAGGTGGAGGGTTAGCAATATGTCCTTTACTCTCGTTAACTTTGCAACAGCATCAATGTGTTTCTATTTAGGGATGTTTCAGTAATGACTTAGTTTGCTAGCTGTTAAGATTTAAGTTCATTCCTTGCAATAGTCACATAAGATAATGGTATTGAAACAATGATAATCTTCCTCTTGGGGTCAGTTGGTACTCTCTAGATGCCGTCAGTCGTATTTTGAGATTTCAGGGCGAAAGAAAGAACCCAGTCAGACTAAGCAACTGAAGAAACTGTCTAAAAATTTTTCATTGAGTGCATCAGAACAAGTCTAGCTTGTATTACGGCAGTCCTTAAATAAGATACTCCTGTGCTTATGTGGGACATCTTCCTGCTCAAAGATTGGATGAGTCAAAAAGTCGAGTGTTGTAGGAGAATGTTCCAGCATGTTTTTGTGCTCTTTTCTTATACCATTCTCCTTTTTAAATAGTCCACTCCCTCTGAGGTCAGAAAGTCATGTAGTCTGGGAATTTCACTTGCAAATTCCTTTGAGGCAGAGCTGATCCTTTGTAATTCATGTGGTTTCCATCACATTTCATCCAAAGTTCTAGAATATAAATTATCACTGTCTGTCACGTGTGGCTAAGTGCATAGAGGTGAAGTTGATCCAGGTGGTGTCAAGATACTAGATTAGGTATAGCATTGGAAGAGCTGAGGAATAAGCTCAATGCTGAATATTTGGGAAAAAATTGCAGCTGACATAGCAACTGCTTGAGTGTGCTGTACTGTGAGCTTAAGTTGTGTGCTCCTGTGCAGTGGGACAGGTAGCCAAACTTATGGAGAAAAATGAAGAAGAAGGTAGGAACATGAAAGATTCTTTCTGTAAGTTTCCAAAAGCAAACTTCAACACATCTGTTATATTTTACATATTCAACTTCTTACCCTCAGTGTTTGTGTTGAATCAGACAGCAGCATAGAATGAGATCAAATAAAATGGTGAAGGTTTTATTAAAAAACTAAAAGGAAAGGTAATAAATATCATATATTTTAGATAAAATGGTCACTAATACCTGACTTCCAAGGAGCTAGTTGGAATATCTAACTTCCATTTGAACCTTGTTTATCCAGCAAGGTTAGCCATTTTTTCCTGGCTTAGGGATAGGGAGGGAAAGTCATGTAGAAATAATGCATGTCAACATTTTAAAGCAGGTGTGTTTCAATGTGCTGTCCCTATTTTTCTGAAAGAGGCAATGTGACAATTTAACAGAGAAAATGATCGGTTGGGGGAGGTGATTTTTTTTTATTATTATTATTTTAAGGTTTTGATTATCAGTGCAAGCTACATTATTACTGTCTCCTGCAATAAAATCCTAGTTTGGCTGACTTAGTTACAGATGGTATCCAGATGATTGTCGGTCAGGTCCTATTCTATGAGTAAGTGAATTATAGATGCAACCCCAAGTGTGATAAAGGCTGGAGGCCCAATGCTTGGGGCATGGGAGAATAATTCAGTGAGATCCTGAAAAGGACACTGATGCAAGTAGCTTCGTAACAGCAGTCTTTATCAGTGTTAATTATTACAAAGTTGTGTTCCCATGGATGGAATCCTTTTCGCCTCACATCACGTGTTCTGTGCTTCCTGAAGCATATTCTTGCCATTATGGTGGTAAGCTCTTTAGGCTAGAGATGGTATATTTGTGTTGTGCTTCTTTCAGCACAATGAACCTCCAGGCACTACCGAATACAAATACTAATAAAAACTGCATTAAATGTGTCAAGTGGTGTTCCATCCTGTATAAAATAGACTACATTGCTTAAAATTTGTCTCTGTGAATGTTCTTGTGAGTTTGACTGCACAAGCAATCATCTAGTCAGGAAAAGAGGGGTTGATAAGCCAATCAAAGTGTATTTTATTTTTTTTTAATTCAGACTACTTGAGAATGATGTATAAATGTAATTGGTTTTCTGTTATATTCTCAGCAGTGTTTTAAAAGGTTGTGAAGCAAATGTCAGCATGGGAAAAAGTGTTGATTGGAGTGTTAACTTACAACAGTCCTCCTGCACATATTTAAGGAAAGATAAGATAACTTTTGAAGAATAGAAGAATATTCAGACATGTTTCAGTATCTGATTATTTTCAATTTTCCCACAGATATCAATGAGTGTCAGTTACAGGGAGTATGCCCTAATGGGGAGTGCTTGAATACCATGGGCAGCTACAGATGTACCTGCAAATTGGGATTTGTGCCAGATCCTACCCTCTCAAGATGCATCCGTAAGTAATGGTGCTAATCAAAGTACCAAAATAGATACTTAGTTGCACTTCAGATGAGGATTTTTTTGACTGGCCCCAACTCTTCTAAGCTGTCCCTACCTCCTCTTCTCAGCTTATTCACTTTATTTAGTTTCAGTGTTGACGCCTCTCTTCTGTCTCTTTGTCCTGGAAGCCTTGGTCTCTGCCAGCTTTTCCTGGTTTTCTTGTCACAAAGCCTTCAAGGCCATATCCAGCCTCCTTATACACTCAGTCTTTTTCACCTGCCTGGAATTCTCCTTCCCACAATTTTTTTTCCCCCTTTCTCTGCTAGTTCCCCAGCCAAAATCATCTTTGTGTCCTGCCCTCCCCTCTTCCACCTCTGCAGCTTTGACCTGGGCAGTTTCCATTACTAAACATTCAGCCCAGGATGATCTTGGGCACATTTTCCTTCTGATTACAAAGGATTAAAAATTAAGAATGGATTAGGAGAAAGAAAAAGTTGTGAACAACATGAATGCAAATATTTTCCTCTGTTAATCAGCTTTTACTTGGTTTGAGAACAACTACCTCTGCAAGAAGAAAAGGCGGCATAGAGAACAACTGAATTTCTCACTTAAAGTTTTTTGGGAAGAATATTTACAAATGAAAAATACCTAATTTCCTAAGCTCCTTACCTGACCTATCTTTAGATTTATAAAATAAAGTATAGTCTAGAGCTGTAGGTGAATTCTTTCATTTTTTTCAGCATAATTATCTTATGCTACTTGTTAATGACACTCAATTACTGAGAAAGTTTTTCAGCATTTTGAAGAATTTCTTATCACTTTTCAGTTTAACACCAGAAAAAAGGAATTGATTTTCATTTTTGCTTTTACATGTCATACTGAAAATCAGATAGTCTTTGTATTTTTTTTGAGTTAAGTGAACTTATTACTGTAACATAACTGTTAACTGCATGTGAATGTAGATGCATAAATTGGAAAGCTGGACGGATCTTAGCATCCTGTTCCCTCGTACTAGTCATAGCTTATGGCCTTTGGCTCTTCAACATTAAAACTAAGCATAATGAAATGTAAATAAATAATTGTCTCTTTTATAAAAAAAAAGGTCATGTATGATACTTAATCCTTTTGCAGTTTTATTTATATAGCCTACTTAAAGCTGAATGTTCCAGTGGCTATGTAGCTTGACACAACTGTATATTGCTCATGATTGACCTTAGTTTTCAGCAGTTGGTCTTGTGTACAAGTGAGAGCTAATTCTGACTCTTTATTGTGGCAGCATGGCAATTGCTGGTTTGGAAATTATTTTTTTCTTTAAAATATTTTTTATCCTTGGTCTAGGATGAGTTGGAATTCAGGAGTGTTTGATGCGAAATAAGAATTGTCTTTTATGTTGTGACTATGGTTTGAAATAAAACTTTTGTGGATGGGAATATTAATTTAACTGATGTTGGAAATCTAGTGGTGTTTCTCTGTTTTGCTTTTCATGTGAACAGTACCATCCTTTCTCCCACTTTCATTGCAGCTGATAGTCCTATAGTTGCTGAAGAGAAAGGACCCTGCTACCGGTTTGTTAGTGCAGGAAAGCAATGCATGCATCCTCTTTCTGTTCAGCTCAGCAAGCAGCTTTGCTGTTGCAGTGTTGGCAAAGCCTGGGGCCCGAACTGTGAGAAGTGTCCACTTCCAGGAACAGGTAAGAACTGTCGATTAAAAATATAAACTCTTGCCCTCACCCTATGTTTGTTATGCATGCTTCTAAAAAAAAAAATAACCAAGAATTGATTTTAAACAAGAAGTGTCCATGAGTAAATTATGACAGTTCTCTACATGACAGTAGAATAAGCACGTATGTGGTGGCTTTGTTTATAGGAATTTGCAATTAAAACAAAGGAATTATCTTTGATATGTTGTGATGGAATTCCAGATTAACAATATTTGCAGCTCAGAATATGTCCTTGAACTTTGATTCTCCTTCGCATGAAGATAAATTTATTGTACATTATATTCTGACTATAGATCCAGGCAAATTAACCCAAAATCTACTTAATACTCTTCAGTTGTTAAAGGCACTGGTGAAAGGATGGTAGCTTTTGAGAATTAGGTTACAGAACTACATGTGTTGTAGTTTACAGTTAGTGGGGTATGTATGGGAGTACCTCTGCTTTCTAACCTTCTTTCATATCTTTACCATCCATTTTGAGGAATGTGCTAAGTATGGTGTTGCCTTCTTAACAATAAACTGGTAGTTAAACATTCACACCACCTTTCACTTAAACAATTCCTTACTTGATACGTAATACATAAGCTCACTTGTATTATCCGTGTTCACTTGGAGTCCTGATGTTTTTTAAATATATAAAGACTTGGAAAATACCACCTTGGTTCGTCACCACCGTCATTTAGGCTGCTCGTAGATTAAGATACCACATATTATAGATGCTGATCACTGCTTTTGAGTACCTTCTATTCCCTGATTTTGCTTAAAACTTAAATGACCAGAGTTGGAGTCTTTAGTCAAAATCAATTTAATATTATTTTTTGTCCAAATATATGGTCAAATTAATCTTTTTTTTAAAAGCATCATTGCTTATTGTAATATACGTGATATACAGCCTGTTCAGTATTTTAGCACAGGTACGGGTAATGGTAATCCACTGTTCTTACTGAAGTTGCTGCTGCCAGATGTCACTGTTATGATACAGGTCATGTATTTCTCTGGAGTGTTTTATAACGATTCAGATTTTCAAAACCAGCTAGCTGCTTTGGGAGATCCACAGCTAGCATCAGACACATGATGAAAGCAGCAGATCCCTTACTTTTTTAAGTAGGGCATACAGAAATGAAAGTGACTAACATTTTTGAGCATTTCAATTGATTTTTAAAGCCATTGTTTCCTGCATGATCATTGGGTTGCCAGATCACTGCTTAGGATTTTAAAAGTCCAGTTCACTTTCAGATAAATAATATTTCCATGGCTTTTTAATGGAGAAAAAAATATTTTCTCATCAGATGACTTGCAATTTAAATGCAGATGCTTTATATCTGTGAGAATATTGCACGAGGCTTTATGCCCAATTGTGTGTATTCTGGAGCAGAGAATATATCTTTTTGCAAAGTTGACTGCTCTCTAGTAATAAAAAGTACATCGTTGAATATTATGTGGACTTGGTTATTTTAGAGATTTTTCTTAATGAAAAGACTGCAGAGAGAAAATCTGTGAGTAGAAAATTCTGATGAGCTGTGTGGGAAACACTTTTCCCATTTCATGACAATTTTCATGATTTAAAAACATGTTCCTTTCTGTAACAGGTTAAATTCATAATCTTTCAGAGTTTTCTATGAAAAATTTGTGAAAGTGGGATACTCCAGAATGGGGTAATGTATTTACTGCAGCATCCCATGTTAATTTAAGAGTCACTGAATTAAAAAGTCATGATCTCACTCTCTGATAGCTTTAAAATATTTGTACAAAGTAGACCAGCTCCAAAAGAGAGACTGAGAAAGCCCCAGGTGTTGAGAGCACTTATCAGAGCTGTGGTAGAATAAGGCTCACATTTTTATTCTCCATTTCAGAGAATATGACCTGAAACATCCTGACTATGCATCTGAAGGGACAGGTGTCAAATTTTCTCTGTCTTCCTTCTTTGACCAGAATTCCCACCCTCAGTTGGGAAGGTTTTGGTATTAGCATTTCCCAACAAGAAGTATTTTATCATTCTGAATCCACTCAGTTTAATCAGTTTGACCCTTCATCTTTTCTATTGCCAAGACACCATCAGAACAGTTTGCAATTAATGCATACTGCAATTTAATGTATAATTTAATTACTTGATCTGTGGAGTACCTATAACTAGTATTTTGTGGGTTTATTTTAGATGCTAATTCATTTCATTCTGTTCAAAGCGGAATTTGTGAACTTACCAGTGCCCCACTCCACACATCTCTTAAGGAGCTGTAAGCAATCACATCAGGCACGTGTGAGACTTAAATCTTTGGTGTTATCCCAACATAGCTTTATCTAGAGCGATGAGGACAATGAAGCACTGCCCCCTCAAGACTCCTGAAGGTCTCCCTGTCCCTGACAGCAGTGTAGCTATTATCTTTGATGGGAAGGAAGGCTGACCTGTATTTCCTTTTCATTCTAGCCTTCCAACTAGGACTGCAAAACCTGATGCTCGTGTAGAGCAGCTGCAGAGATCAGAGCAAGTGCTGCTGCCTGACTTTCATTACCTTTTTCTGTGGCAGCTTTATAAATGAGATTATTTCCCCTCTCTTCCAGTGATGATTTGGCTTTTTATGATGCCCAACTTGTTTTTATCCAGCCCACTGAGGTCAGTGGAAAGGCCTGTTCAATTCAGTGGAATTTTGGATCAGGGCTGGTGCAAGACCTCTGATGTAGACAAATGGGATCCTGTGAATGAATGTTGTTACTGCTTGATATTCTTCTGCTCCTCTAGTACAGGGTGGTGAGCTTTTTTTCCTTTGGTTTGGGCAAAAAGGGAATGATAGAAGTAGTGATCTTCATTCCTCATGCAATGTAGATGATGATGACAATTTGCATATTTAAATTCATATTCAGAAAGGATATGGTGTTTGAAGAAGATTAATACAAAAAATTATCTTGATATAATGATAGATTAAGCATAACTGAAGAAAGATGGTAAACTGGAGCGGAAACCTCCTGGGAATAACAGCCAGAACATGCTTTTGGGAGAATGCTCTGTCATATTAGCATGCAATGCATAGCTTGTCTTTAAATATTTTTTTTGTAAAAATGTATATACAATATGAGATTAAATTTATTAGTGGTAGTCATTATATTTTCCACTATGTCAACATATTGCACTTTTAGACTCCTAAAAGGAATATTTTCCCATCCCAAATCTAGCTGCTTTTAAGGAAATCTGCCCTGGTGGAATGGGTTATACGGTTTCTGGCCCTCACAGAAACAAGCTATATCATCACCCTGCAGTTAGAGTACAGCCACCTGTCATTGGCAAGACCCCGATTACTCAACCTGTTGCTAAAGGTACTTCTCCTCCACCTCTCCCAGCAAAGGAAGAGCCAGTGGAGGCACTGACCTTCTCACAGAAAAGTGAGACTGAGATGGCTGTGCATGAAGGTGAGAGTGGGAAAATTTAGTTTTTCTGTATTTCTATGCATGTGTCTTCAATGGTATGTTTCTTTGTGGAGTAGCTGCGTATAGTGCAGGACAAAGGTGTCACTTCCCACAGCAGAGCATTCCATGGCATGGAGTGTATTGTGTTACGTGATTTACTTCTGAAATTTTATGTATAGCTCCTACCAGATGCTGAGAACACCATGGAGAAAGAGACTGCTTTAATCTCATTAATTTTTATGATAAGAAATAGTAAATATTTCTTTTAAGACTTTTACAAAGATATTTATAATCCCCAACATATAACAAAGGACTCAACTCAGGCTTTGATTTTCTAGTATTTGGAGTGGCAGAAGCTGAGGGGTTTTCACCATCTTCCTTCTACATGCCCCCGCAGATGAGCCCCACCTGATGTGGGCACGCTTCCCCTTCAGGTGGTCTGCTCCTCACCCCTGCAGCTCTGCGCTGCCTCTGCCTGACCATGCTGGGTCAGCCCCTCTCTGCTGGGCTGTTTAACGATTAGTTGACTCCTCTAAGATACTTTTCTCAGGCTTTGTTTTCTGCAAGCTTCTCTAAGAACTTGTAGCAGCTGAAATTGTCCTGAGTCTAAAACAAATGCAGAAACAAAGAAATGCAGAAAGCAGCACTACTATAAATACATTGCCAGCAAACTTGGGATAAACTAACTGTAGACAAGAAGAAATACACTGCTGAAGAACCCTGTCTTGGTATTGAGTACTTTATAGGTTGTTTCCAAGGAGCAGTTACGTATCCATATGTCAGGCCATTATTAGAAAGAGTTTCACTCAGCTGACTTTGCAAAATTCTGTGTGACGTGAGTTACTTTCCATTTAAAAATCACTGCTCCAGTTTTGCTTTCAAAAAGAAAATGGAACTAAAATTAATCTGGAAAGAAAAATAAGCCATTGAAATATCCTTACAGACTGTGCTGGATTATAAAATCTCACATAAACCTCTGGTCTTTTCTGTGTTAAAAGTAGAAAAAAATGGTGTATCATTTGCTAAAATATTACTTCAGTAATTAGAAAGATTGCCACATTCTAGTAAATCTTAAAGCATAGAGAATCTGGAGAAAAAAAGGGGTATTGTTTTTTTAAAATAAAAAACTTTAAAAATACATGCTAACTTTAAGTCAGTAGTGACACATACATGTTTGAATTTTATATTCTGGTTTTGGATATGTTTATATTTGGAATTTTTGAGATTTTATTAGAAGTTCTCCCAGTTCTGATAATCAGCCTCCCTGCTAATACTGAAGAAGCTAGAGCAAGAAGAGTGATGTAGGGTTTTTTGTGGGGTTTCTTTTTTTTTTTTTTTTTTTTTTTAAATCTTTCCTGTGGAAAAAGTTGATTGTGAAAAGAAGAAGATTACAATTTTTTTATAGAAGCATATAGATTTTCATCAGTAAAAGACAAATTCAAAAAAGGCAAACTGCAATGTAAAATAAACACTTATATGAAATTTCTACCTCTCCTTCCCAGAAAAAAGTCACTTTTGTGGAGGAAAAAAAAAACCCAAACCACTTCTGCTTGATTAAAGAAAAGGCAAATTTCAAAGCCCAATATTTTTTTATTTTTTTTATTCTTGCAAATTTGTTAATAGTTAGTTATATACCATTATGATATTAAATTACCTTTAAAATAATTACAGATGATGATTCTTCTTGGAAGGAATTAAAAAACTTAATCAGTGAGTTAATAACCTGTGAGTTTCTTAGAATGTTTCTAAGGAAATAACTGAGAAACTTTATAAGGCAGCTGAATACTGAGTACATACATAATTATAAGCATTGGTCCGTGTGTAGAATCTTATTCTGGTTTCAGGTTAGTTTTTACTCTTGCTTCCAGGAACATTACTTCAAGCTTGCACCATTTTGGGATGAGGTTAGAGCCTGAAATTTTTCTGTGATGGCAGAAACCTCTTTCAAATGTTCTAGTAGTTTTAAGTAGAACGCGTAAGTAAATGTTATGTGAAGACTGATTAATTTTCTTTTTTCTTTCTGGTTTTAGTGGCAACTGCAGCCCCTGATCAGGTAAAACATTATGTGATTTATCTAGGAATTAGAATGCAGACCATGTGTACAAGATGTAATACGGTAACTCTGAAAAGGATTTAGGATTTATGAGGAACAAACAATTCACTGTGGACTTAGGATGTAAACCCTGAGGCAAAAAGAGCTCATGTTGTTATTATATACAACGGGCAGGTAGTGAGGTACAGGAAAGAGATTGCTTTAACCTCTCTTTAGGGCATTGGTGGAGGGTCTAGTACTGTATTGTTCAATCCCATTCTGGAGCTTGTATTTTAAAGAGGATATCGAAAACTGCAGACAGTATGAAGGAGAGCCACAGATACTGACAGCTAGAGAAAATTAGTTGGAGAGAAACAGTATGAAGCTTTAAGAAGCATTTGTGACACCCGCTTAAGAGATTTGTATTAATGCCTAAGTTAGTTTCCTAGGTTTTTTAGGGTTGCTGTGTATTCAGTGAAGAGCAGGTGTATATCTGTAAGTCCCCCCATTCTGGAGGTTCCAGGTTCTCTGTGCTGAAGATAATGGGATTCGTTAAGACTAACTGCAGCTGTACTTTCCTTTTTTTCCTGTGTTTCCTTTTCCTAAAGAGTTACAAGCATCTAACTCTTTTATGAAAATAAGATCATCAGTGCAGCAGCTAAGAGAGAACCTTTCACAGTGGTCAAAGACTTGGAGACCTATGTGATTCTATACTTTTGTGTGATGCTGAACTGCAGTTGGGAGAACTATGGAAGTTCAAAGCCAAAGATACAGCTAGAAGCTGTATGAAATGAAATAGCTGCTTCAAATAAAATCAATGTTAAATTGTATGCCATTGTGTAAACATAGTATTCCATGTTCTTTCAGGCTTAAATTGGTGGTATTTAATGATCTGCTATCAAGAGCCACTTGTGAGAATGTTAGCAGTTTCTCAAGCCAGGAGTTTGTGGGTGGTTATGATAGCTGAATTAAGAAAATGTTTTCAGAATGTACATTTTTAATCATTCTTTTAGGAATTAGCTTCCCTTGATCAAGAAAAGCAGCCTGATCTAGAGCCTGGGCAGCCTCAGCTTTCTCCTGGAATTTCAACAATTAACCTGCATCCACAGTTTCCAGGTAACTTGTTTTGCCTTGTCTTTTAGTGTGAGAGAGTGCTTACAAGTCTTCCAAGAATGGGAAAGTAGCAATTGTAACAGAGGTTAATGAAAATTGATTGCAGCTTCACAAGCAAATTTTCCATGAGCAGAATGAATACAGAAAAAAAAAAAAACCAAACAATGGAAGCTGAAGTAGGGGGAATTGAGAGGTTGGCATTGGCTGGGTGACTTGTTAGGAAGCAAAGACATATTTTAGGCAAAAGTAATATCCTGGATTACGTACATGAGAATTTTAATGTCAGAAGAGTTGAGGCCTTGTACCCCTTTCAAGAGGAAACTTTACTTAGTTGCCTCCTTGTAGATTTATGCATAACTTTCTCTGCAAAAGTTTTACTATTGTGCTTGTTTTCTTTAGTACCTGGTTTTTTCACAAGCAGTAGAATGATGGAAAACCCAATTATACTGGTTTTTCTAGTCCAGATCTAAGCAGAATAAACTAATGAAAAGCTCCATAGTGTCTAGCTCGTTCAGTATCATATGTGAATTCTTTAGGGGGCTTTTTTTTTTTTTGAATGCTTTAAGGGGTTTTTTTTGGATGTGATTGATTTCCATTCCATGTCACACAGTAGTGATTGAGAAAACATCTCCTCCTCTGCCTGTTGAAGTTGCTCCTGAAATCTCTACTTCGAGTGCAAGTCAAGTAATTGCACCTACTCAAGTTACAGGTATTGTACTTCCTTTTTAGAATTAAAATAAATTAAGAAATTACTGTGAGTTCCTGACACTATAACTTGTTCCGTGCTACTTCTGAATTATAATAGCGAAAAGAGTGTAGCTGAGGAGAGATAGAAATTACAGAACAGCGCAGCAATGAGGGTGCTGTCAACAGAGCTAGAACTAGACCCTCCCAGCATGTACCTGTCATTTTTGTGCCCACAAATCAATGATAGCAGAAAAAATTAATAATTCCAGCTCAGAGTACATATCTGTAACCAAAGTGCAGAACAGAAGACTTCTTGGTGACAAGTCAGGTCTTTAGAGAATCTGCACATGTTCATGAAGTATAGGTGATCATGTTCTTTGAGGGGTGTAGATTTTGTGGGATGTAGATCAGTATGTTCTCCAAAAGGCAGATGAGAAGTTACTCTAAGATATATTTTGAAATGTTCTTTTCACATTTGTGCCTTTTCCTTTTTTGATGTATCAAAGTTACTTTTTCTACATCCATGTGTCAAGAAGTGAAAATAACGGAAATGCAAGTAATGCTTCTGTCATAGCTGAAACTTGTCGGAGTGATGACTGCGTCCAAAAGGCATGAAAATTTCACTTGCTGTAAATTTGAAAGGAAAAAGGTGAATGTACTATGTGTGGATACCTGAGAGCATTACAATGTCACATTGACTAGTCTCTCAGTATTAACACAGGCTTTGAAGTAATTGCAATAGCCAGGTAAATACTTTAAGATGTAGTATTGCATATGGTAGAGATATCTAGGCCTACCAAGAGGTTTTCCAGTTTGCATTCACAGGGAGAAATTACACATGCTTCAATAAATGTTTAACTCTTCAAAGATGGCTTTCCTTCATGCAGGAAGGGATTTCTGAGTTGCACGCAACATGCACAGGTTCTAAATCACCCAGTTGTTTGAAGTAGGATTCTGTCAGCAGTTAAATCCTCCTGAATCTACCGTAAGAGTAGAAAAAGTATCCTGTCCTTCTGAGAGCATTCAGCTGCCTCCTTCAGTTACCTATAATTGCAGTTCGTCAGTCCCGTATGAAAGTTCTACTAACGGTGCTTGTCAAACCAGAATTTGTAAGTCAGCTCTGCTGTGACTGTGCCTCTTCAGCCAGCCAGGTCCCTGCTTCCTTACAGGGAGACAAAGCTACCCTGCTGGGAATTCACGTCAGTTAGAAAAAAATGGTAGTTTTCCATGTTCTGCTGTTTTTTCTTTCCTCAGGAAAGGGAGTGGAACTAGAAATTGCTGTGTGCTATAAACAAATAAATCAATCTGTAGTTCAGATGCAGTTCCAAGTGTTGTTCAGATATTTAAGAGATAGTAAAATACAAGTGAAGTAAGATTTGTAGGACAAAATCCTAAATTGAATTTAAAAAACTGAGTGCAGTTAGAGTTGAGATGTTTTTGAGTGCCTTAATCCTGTAGTTTAAGATTTAGTTAAATTTAAATGTAACCAATTTCTAAATAGTCTGGATAAATTATTATTCTTTACGGATGATAACTTTTTTCAGGCATTACGGTTTCATACTGCTGTACAACCTTACTTTAAAATGCAACTAAACATCATGACTGCAACACAGTCATTTGTATTTTTTGTAGTAACACATATACTTTGAGAATTTCTAAAACTCTACTGTAAGGGTTTGGCATCCAATGCTGCCCATATCTGAATCTCCTTATCTTAAAAAATAAATCCAAGACATTAACAGATGAGTATTCTGTAAAAATAATCAGAAACCCACTGCAGTTATTTTTTTAACCTTTGATGCAAAGGTTAAATCATATAGATTTTTATTTTATATTATTTTCATTTTACTTTATTTTTTATGTAAAAAAATTTTTTATGAGCCATTTATGGATCTTGGACAGGACATGAGAATATGTCACTAGGAAAAGCCTAGATGGTTTCTAAATTCTTCCAGATAAGGTATCCATAACAGAAACTCAGGACTTACAAACTTGATTTACAGTTGTTTTCAGGCCTGATCTTTCTACTTGGATTACAGAATATTGTACATTTGCTGAACTATGTGGGAGAGTTTAATATTTTTTTGTTGTTGTTTGCTTAGAAATCAACGAATGTACAGTTAATCCTGATATCTGTGGAGCAGGACACTGTGTTAATTTGCCTGTGGGATACACTTGCATCTGCTACGAGGGCTACAGACTTAATGATCAGCAGACAAAGTGCTCTGGTATGAACGGACGTTTTCAAAAATCTGAAATAACCATGCTATGAAATGCTTGAATTGTAAAGTCTGGTCAGGGGAAATATGCAACAGTGTAGTCAGGAGTGGCTTCCTGTACTGAATGCTTCCTAACTACACAGAAACTAGGTTTTGTATGTCAAATAAAATTTGCAGGCTAGTCTCTGATACAGTGTTTCAGCCACTCAGACCGAATGTGAATTTAATGAAACTGAATGAAAGCCTTTCCCATTATGACATGAGAGAGAGCTCTTCTGAGCTTTATATCAGGTATTTAAAATCATCAGACTCTAGGAAGAAATGCACTTCTGTTTGGAGAAAGAATGACCAAATTAGTGCCTGTTTCTCAGAATGATTTGCCCAGCTACCAGCTCTGCAGCTGCACTAAATCCAGTCATTTTGTTAGGTCTTTCCTTTCAACCTTCTGCTGAAACGAGAAAATACATTGTAAACATCCCAGAAGCACAATAGGAGATCTGCAAAGTAAGGTCTTCATCCCCTTCAAAGCTAGTAGGTTCTGGAACAGAGGGCTCTGACGACCATGACGCAGAGCCCAGACTGGCTCTACATGAGCCATTTCAGATTTGGAAGCAACTGTATCGATACCTTTCCTTCATTCAGAATATACAGATTCCTCTGTAACTTCATCAGAAAGAGTTTATTACATCATGCTGCCAGATTCTATACTATCAAATTTTCATGCTACCAAAAGTTTGGTAACTTCACACTGATATGCAGGTGCAACTGCAGTATTAAAAAATATTTTGCACGCATACACAGCCAAATGGCAACTTAAAATCCTTCTATTTCATCCAAATTGTGTTATTGTTCCATGCTTGCAGCTTGTGCTCTGCTTGCACTCAGTGTAGTGATTTGAATAGTAATCATCACATTCTTCAGGCCAATGCAATATTCTTATAGTCTAAGCCAATAAGAGCATTTTTTTCCAACCAAAACTATTTAATGCATCTTTTTTGCAGCTCTGAGGGAGAGGAAAACATATACTTTTTTAAATAGTTAAAATAATTACAAGATTAGTCTTTCCAAAAAGCGTGGCATAGAATGCACAAAAAGAATCACGACTAAGTATGTTATTCTCTTATGGTTTTATTTCTTTTATAGATATTAATGAGTGTAATCAGGCACCCCATCTCTGTTCCCTCGGACGCTGTGAAAATACAGAAGGAAGTTTCCTATGTATTTGCCAAGCTGGATTCATGGCCAGTGAAGATGGAACCGACTGTGTTGGTAATTATTGGTCTCCTTTATAGAAAATAAAAATGTAAAAAAATGAATCGAGAAGCTTATCTCAAACCCCTAAAGTCCTCTTTTCAGCTTTTTTCCTCAATGTCATTGGTATTGGACTGAGGTCTGGAAGTGTTTTTAACTGTCTCTCACCAGGTATTGTGGTGAGGAAAATATTTGAGTGGCTCCTTCTACTTTTCAAAATTGTTATTTGTTAAAAAAAAAAAAAAATTATTCAGTATCATGCTTGTTTAGGAAAATTACCATTTAGTAAAAACACCTTCTGTGGTGGGAAATACAAATATTCAAAACTCTTTCAATCACTAACAGCTGTAACAAACCATATTTTTAAATAGAGCTGCAAACAGCCATGAACTGCATGGAGAGCAACACAGACAGACAAAAATGGCTGTGATCTTCCTCAGGTTAGCACTGCCTTGGGCACAATATACACGTGGTGATGCACGTTGTGTTTGCAGCCACAGGCAGGGCCGCTCACTGCCCTTCTTCCTACAGCCTGGTTGTTTCTAGATCTCATTCCCTCTGTGATTACAAGCAGTGAGGTAAAGAACAGCTGTAGGGCTGTGGCTTGCAAACAGCTTGAAAATCCAAACTTACTTGCTTATGTTTAATTAAAGCAGAGTTTAGGGGAGATGCAAGCATTCAGTAATTTCATGGTGAAGCAAAGTTTCTCTTAACTTCTCTTTTTCATCTGCAGATTTTGATGAATGTTCAAGACCTCATACTTGCGGGGAAGGCTTTTGTATAAATACTGTTGGCTCATACAGATGCGAATATTGTGATAGTGGATACCAAATGAACAGGAGAGGTGAATGTGAAGGTAGGTTTGAACTCTGCACCAGTTGTAATACAGTAACAGTTGCCAAGCCAAACAACTGCAATAGGAAGAGCCATTTGTTCACCACTGTTTCTGATCTCAACAGAAAACTTTACATCTATTTCTTTGTGTTTGAAGAAATCTGGCCATTAGATGGAAACATTAAAATAACTCAACACAGACTTTTTTCATGTTTAACAATATTTTTCTACCTGGTGCATTTCTTTTAATTCGTTTCAATCTCCATTTGATATTTGATTTCAGATGGAATGTCTTGGCACAGTGATTTTATATCTATTTGTGTTCAGAGTTCCCTTTCCCCATCCCATTCTGTGCTTATTTCCATGGGTAATTTCTCTAGCTTAATCTTACTGCTGGAATTCTCTCAGTTACTTTCCTCATTTAATTTGCCTTCAGATCAGTTAACTTCCTCCTGTACACCAGCTGAAAATGGCAGAATATTCAGAAAGACATTGCTTGTTTTATCTACAGTATGTCCTGGATGATGAAGTGAGGTTACCATTTATTCATATCACAAAAAAAATGCCAAATGTTGCCGCTGTTTGGAATGATTAACATTGTGTGCTTGGGAGGCTGAGCACTGCAGCTTGAGCTGCAAAGGGAGAATTCTCAGAGTGTGCAAGCTTAAACAAGAAACCTTTTTGAGTATTCTCTAATCTTTTCAATTATTTGATGTCTGGAACCACATTATTTAGATTTAAGACACTGCAAAGGAGTTCCCCCACTATGGACAGAACCATCTTAGGACAGAACTTTTAACAGCTCTTGCCATGGAATCTCGTGATGACATTGTTAGTCCTTCCCTGCATACTTGGTACCAAGTTTCTGTTTAAAAAAAAAACCCAAAACCCTATAATTTTTCCTGTATTATAACAGGTAGCAAATGATAAGTTGACTTTTTAAAATTTGGAAACATATATATCTAGCAGGTATTTCATGTTGCAGGAAATCCTAGGACATCTGACCTTCAAAACTTCACATTATTTTTCAGTGTGATATTTTTCCCTTTTTTGCTGTTTTTTTCTTTTTTCACTCTCAGCTTGAATTGTGAACTAAAAAACACGAGCAGCCATTTCATTTTAAATGTCGTTTTGTTCATGCTTTAGTCTACATTACTTAAGACAGAATGAAATTGCTAACATGTTAGGTTGCCTAGCAAATAGGTAACTTAAAGCTGCTGTGGATAGATTTGCTGCTCTGAGCATTGCTAAAACATTCCTCTTTCTATTCAGACAATTTTTTTAAATTTAAATAAATGTTTCACACACTCCACTCTTACAACAACTTTTTCCAAATCTTCTCTGTCAGTAGGGAATCTCTGATTAAAATAGGCTAGAAATCAGAATATCAGAGCGTGTCAAATTTCCTATTAGCTTGTATTTTAAGTAGTGTGGTGGTAGTCCTCTCTCGTTTAACTTAACAATATGTAATTTCTGAAACCAAATTCTTTGTTGAAAGTTATTTAAGGTTGCTTAAGGGAAAAACCCTCCTACACTAAATCCATCAAACCAAGGAAATGACACGTTTGGGGAATCATTTCACCATGCCATTACACCTACACATTATAGTCACCCTGCTGACAGATTCCAGATTCCACAAATAACTCCTGTCCACCTCCTTTCACCCTTCAGAAACAAAGGCAAGAATCCTCCATAGGGACACAGTTCACTTACACTTCCTCACCCCATCTTCATTCTGCCTTCAAGCTATCCTCACCCAAGCTCTGTCCTGGGCCTAGCCTGGGAAATCTGATCTGCTGTATGTTATGGAGTGTCTACCAAAGATTCGCAGTGTAACAGAAAACTCAGATTCAGTTGCATGTACTATGATCTAATTTATTTCTCAGAGATGCCCCTCTGCGGGTACAAATCTGTGCCTTCCTGGGTATCTAAGAGATACTTTAAATGTATTAGTATACGTGAGCACAGTCAGAATAACCAGATTATTGTTCGGTGTTTTGTTTCATCTTTGACCGCTAATTCTTTTTATCTTCTCTTTTGAAGACATTGATGAATGCCTGACTCCAACTACTTGTCCAGATGCACAGTGCATTAATGCTCCTGGCTCTTACCAGTGCATTCCTTGCAGAGTGGGATTCAGAGGCTGGAATGGACAGTGCCATGGTATGTGCAGTACTCTTTGTATCTCCAGTTATAGTTCTTGTTCCGAGATGTTCTATTTCCAATGCTATCATGCTGATGACAGCACTGTGCCCTGGGTCCCCATTTCATTCAATACTAATTGAAAATATGAGATTTTTGAAATTACTTTATGTTCTCAGATGTAGTATATATGAGGAAATCATGTTTTACTGTAGATAAATGAACAGTGAATCTAGACGGCAAATAAAACAATTATAATTACAAAACAAAATTCTTGAAATAGAAAATATGGAACTGAGAGGGATGTATTATCGGTGAAATGCTAGTAGGCCATTGTTTGGAGGTATTAACAAATTGAAAAAAACCATGCATCAGTGTGATTGGCAGGCTTTTCACTAGGATATGGGCGTTTGTTCACAAAGCATATTAATAAAATTCTTCATTATTATTTCCAGCAAAACATTCAGCACATCTTAAAACAGCTTGTCTCACTTTAGGTTAGGTTTTTGGGACAGAATTCTCACGTTATAGTTTTTTTTATTTGTTTTTAAAGGTTAGATTTATTTTTTTCCCAAATTAGTTCTGGCTATTTGAGTTATAGGTAAGAAAGAGCAAATGGATCAATTGTGCAAAAAGAAATAAACTTCTGCATTTTTGAGTGCCGCTTCCTGGGGCACTACCAGAAACTTAATTTGACCTCAGTTGTGAAGAGTCTGCTGTCTGTTGTGAATCCTCCTGTCCACTCTGTGTGTAACACATGTCCCGTAATTTGTGATGGTTGGAGTAACCATGTTACCTAAACATAGGTGTATAATAACCTACTTAGGAGGTGTTTGCATTATTGTTGTAGGTCAGATTGGCAGTGTACTTCCATAGCTTATTTCCTAATCGCTCCCAATTGCTGCGGTTTGGTTCAGTTCATGAAGCAGTCTGAGAGCACAGTTATGGTTGAAGTAGCACTGGAAGGTGGGGATCTACCGTGCTCCAGCCACAAATGGGTTTTGATGTGGAGCAAGACTAGAGTCAGGTTGCAGTGAAGCACCTGAAAAATGTATGATGCTGCTGTCAGAGCCTCACCACCAGCTTTGCTGTACAGATGATACCTTTTTCAATCACACGATTTTCTAATGAAGGCATATCGTAGCAAATTATTTCTGTCTGAACATCTGCCTGTTAAAATTTATCAGCATGTCATAGCCACATTATTTGGTCTTGTCATTTGACTTACTGTGGACGAATGGATTTTAATGGAGTTCTAACGAGCTATGGAATGTTTACGGCAAACTGATGTGGTTCACTTAGCAACATGTTCGTGTTCATCTTTGTTTTGCACCTTCCCACCTGCCTGGATTACTACTACCCTTCTCTTAAGGAAGGTTAGTAGGAGTAGAATGAGAGAAAAGAAGTCCCTGTTCTGCTCAGATTTACAAACTAAGACATGTAGGGGATAAGTCTTGGTTCCAAGTTGTTGATGCTTTTTTTCCTTGTAATCCTGCATGTAGTTTCCCTTTTTCCTTTGTTTTATGAAATGTTCTAAGCCTAGACATCTCACTCACATCATTAGCGATGTGATCGGTCTTCATTTTCTGTTTATCCTAGACTTACATCATGTTGGAAATAAGCCATGCACATTTTAGAAAGTGTAGTGCAGACAGAGCTTGTCTCAAATCTGTAGCTTTGCAATATGGTACAATTTAAGCACACTGGAAAGGAAAATATTTCCTGTTATCTATGAAGGGTATTTGAGTCCATTGTTCCATGAATAAATTTGTTTCTGCTGTCAGTTTAGGTCAGTTGCAGCTCTGATAGTTTTCCCCAATGCTCTTTTTTTGTTTTTTTTTACCTCAGCTCATTCCTCTGCTTGTACTTGATGCCCAGAAAGTCTAGTATAACAATTCTACAGTTATTAGATGCTATTGGTATTGTAATCTTCCAGGATTTAAAGCCAGGAACATCTCTACTTTTCTTTAATAAAGGCAAGTCAATCGGTTCACTTCAGACTTATGTAGAATAAATTTAACTGCAATTTAGGTGGGAATATCCAATGTGAGATGCATATTGGAAGAAACTGAAAATGGCACCTGCACACCCTGCCTCCTCATTATCTTGAAATTGCTACTGTCCCAGATCCCTCAGTGCGTTTGTGTTGTACAGGGACTATTTGAAATAATTTTTTTAAAGTTGACTTGAAATCACAGATTTTTTTCATCTTTCTCTCTCCACATTTGCACATTCAAATAAAGTGATATATCATGATATATAATGACAATAAATTGTACATTAATCTAGAGCACACTTCTGTGTGTTGACGAATAAATGAAAAAAAATTAGATTGACAAAACTATAGACCACTTCATCCTCATGGTTATCACTGTGGTGGATTTTGGAGCTATGTTGTTAACTAACTATATTCAGCTTGCACAGCATTAGGGACCCCATCAGATTTCAAAACTAATACAGAGGTCAGCAGAGCTGATCCATATACCTCTAGCCATATTGCAAGGAGCTTCAATAGAATCAGTTACAGCTCTGGACTTCATCTCAGAAGATTTGGGTTCTGTTCCTGGCTTTTCTGCTGGCTTTATGGGAAGGACTCTTGATCTTCGAGTCCCACCCAAATATCTGAAATATTATCGCAGGCTTCATTTTCAAGTAGCTTGGAGATAAGGAGATGAAAATTAATCTATAAGAAGGAGATTTGTTAGTTGGAAATTTGTGTGCCTGGCTGCTGAATCAAGTTCTTTGTGTTTTAACACATTCTTTAATTTGAGCATTGATCATATACATTGAGACCAAAGGTTGTGTTTTGTTGAGCAGGTAAGTTTTGCAACAGTAGGAATCTCAGAAATTAGTCTTGCAGAAGGAGTGAGTAGTATCGCCTACTGAATTGCCGTAGCAGAGCACCTGTGGATCAGTGCTGTCATGCCCTGGGAGGATGCCACTTCGTGTACTTGGCCAGGCTGGAACGGGGCGTCTTATTTACAGAGTTATAGGCTCAAGTGAGGAAACAAGAACTGTAGGTCATTTGAAATACAGACAATAATGGGGATTTCGTTTGTGTCTGGGGAGAGATGGGCTTTGTCAAAGTTAGATTGTACAGGAGCTTGTAAGAGCCAAGAATGATGAATATATATGAGGAAAATAATTACTGCAGATATTCACAATAGGTAATAAGAGCTATGATGATGATTTAAAGACCTCTAATCTTTTTCCAGCTCTCCCTGTGCTACAGCTGCTTAAATAGCTCAAGTGCCTCAAGTAATCAGTAGCTTTGCTCTTTTATGTTGACAGATTTGTGTGCTTTGTGGTGGCAAAACATTGGGAGTAATATGAGTTCGAGCACATAAAAGCAAATAAGGTGTAATTCTTTTTCTGCATCAGTGAAGCTAAAAAATACAGCTTTTTCCATACAGAGACACCTGCTTGCTGTTAACTACATCCCCAAAATAAAAAAAAAAAAAAATTGAAAATTAACCTTTTATTTTTTTAAAGTGAAAACCACTCCTAGGAAAAAGACAAATTGATAATTTTAGAATACTGAATTCTAACAGGGTTTGTAATGATATATTTATTTCTATGTTTGCTTTTTTCTTTGTTGATTGATACAAATTGCATTCAGAATAAATTCTTTAAAATGATTCTTAAGTAGTAACACAGGAGTTTTCATGTTGGCTAAAGAGTGGCCCATCTAGTTAATACCCTTCTTCCAGAGAACGATGAAAGTACGTGTCTGTGAGAAGAAAAGTTTCTTTCAGGTCCCCCTGTAAATAAGGGATAGTTTGTGACCAGGAAGAGAGATTTGCTTCTAAATCTTTTGTTATAAAGGCGTAATTCAGTGGAGTTCCTTGTTGCCTGTATAGAGTAGCCTTACAAAGAGACCTGCATGAAGTGCAGAAATCCCCTTGAGATTCCTCAGGTGTCAGCTGAGTCCTCTAGAACCTGCCTCCTTTAAGTCCATTTGAAAAATGTCATCTATGAAGGTCTGACATGTACATGTGTTTCGTATAGAGTCTTTAGTTATACACTGGAGAACTCCTCTAAATCCTGTACATTAATTGACCAGCTTTAAAAAACAGCAAAAAACTCAACAGCAGAAAATATGGTTGAGGTCTGTTCTAGCTTCTGAGAGGACCTACCTGTTCCCTCACACCTGTAGCTAAGCTCCAGGTGAACAAGTGGGGGCAGCGGGTTTGGGGGATTCTGACCAGAGCACACATTTTAAAAATGGTTTCAGAAGAGAACAGCTTCTAACACGGCCTTGCCAGCATGAGCTGTGTCTGCTTTTCCAGACTGTTCCTTGCAATAGCAGAAGGATTAGTGATAATGGTTACAAGGTATCAGTTGCTAGTGCTTTTATCACAGATACGTATCCTTCAGGTAAATCTGTGTAATGCAAGAATGAACACGCCAGCACTTGCTGAACTCTTCTGTATACTAAAGCTGCACTGATTTAAGCTACTCTGGGAAAATTATGGGCAAAATAATCTTCTTCAGGTAAGGACGATGTGGATGCAGTTAGTTCATAGTGCAACCCCTGTTCAAAAAAAAAAAAAGAAAAGGAAGAAAAAGGTTTGTTAGCCCAAACTGCAGTCCTTGCAGTACTGGGATAAAAGCATTGGTTTAGTCACATGGGCTCTGAGTATAGTTCAGTGTTTGAACACAAGCCAGCTCAAGTTCAAATCCTTTTTTTAAAATCAGAATTGCTGCAGAATTGTCAAGGTCAAAATATACAGAAAAACTGATTGTAACCATTCTTATGGCAGAATTTGAATAAATTCCCAAGCTCAACTGAAAGATGGTTGTACCCAAGTTAATTGTACGCTTGCGCTTTCTTTTTATTCACAGATATAGATGAATGTCAATATGGCAACCTCTGTAGAAACGGACGTTGTGAAAATATGGAGGGGTCTTTTAGATGTGTTTGTGGCCAAGGTTTCAAACTCTCTGCATCAGAGGATCAGTGTGAAGGTAGGAAAGAATATGATTAAAACTCGTAAGCTTGCGCTTACCTTTTAGGTAATATTTTTAGTCTAATAGTATTCCTTTTAATGGAGAACCAACAAATGTACAACACTGAGGCTAAATAACCAAAAATACAGGAATGTGTATTTCCATTTTGTGGCTTCCATGGTCACATTGTAGATTTTTGACATTTGTTATAAAGCCAATCAAGAACATGTAGTAATATTTATATTGCTAAATTTTAATTTCTGAAAAAACCTTGGCATTTCTGTCATTTTGGAGGTTTGGGGACAGTGGCTTTTGCTGCCTTAATTGCTTTTCTTTCTATCTTTTTTTCTTTTGTGTGGGTGAGTGGAATAAAAAAAAACCCCAAGCTGCGCCCTCTTGGAACCCAGCAGTGTCGGTTAACACTGAGGTGATGCCTGCATTGGTGTCACTGCATTTCAAGTACTATGTCTAGTAGAGAGACAGTCTGATGTTGTATTTCTAGGAAGAGTACCTGCACCTCCAAAGTGTCATGTTCTGCATTTCTTCCACATCTAAAATTCCCACCAGGACTGCTCCAGTGGAACAAAATTAGGTCTGAAGTCAGAGTGGAGTAGTCTGAGAGAGAACCTAAAGTGTGTACGGGAGGTATGAATATCCCTGGGAGAATGTCTCCAAGCTGTGGAAGCACACAGAAACCTGAACATTTCTTGTCAGATGTTGTTTTTTCTTCTTTTTCCCTTCCCCCCACCCTTCCCTAAGTGTCTGTATATGGCACCACTTTCAGACTCCTTAGTGCTAAAAATAATACAGTAAAACTAAATGATCGTTCATGTAAATTTGTCAGGAAGTTTGAAACAAAACATCAGTGTAAGTTAAGTGTCTTGACTGAGTTAACTGTGCTGTCCAGGACGCACAGCAGACTGGTCTTGGGGAAAGTATGTAGACAAAGTTTGACTGCTTCCTCTGAGCCTTTCATGGAAAAGGGCCCTTGCCAAGCTGAGCTGGCATGTGCAGCCTGTTCTTCTTAAAGTGCACCCTTCTAAAGTAAGGGCCCGTACATGTGCCTAGATGCTTCATGCAGCCCCGCAGATTTCACTGATCCTTAAATTCAAAACCTCTGTGGTCGCAAGGGACCATTACTCAAGAGGTCGGACTACACAGCCATAACACAGACCTGAAAAACCTCATTGAGTAACTTTCTCCTGTTTGAATTCGAGTGTGTTTTCAGAAGGACATTCAGCCGTGCCTAAATCCTAGAAGTGACTAAGAACCGACCATATCAATTTAATTACTGTTCCTTAATGAGTATTTTATAAATAAGGGAAGGAAAACAGGCTTCTTAGCTCAAACAAAGCATGTGCTATATTCTGAATTCAAAGTGCCACTCCCCTCCAGTATTTGGAGTTTTTCATAGGAAAATTTAAGTTTGATGTTCAAGTCCATCTGTTAACCCAGGCTGACCTCGGTTTATGAGACCTGAAGCGCTGAGGGATTAGCAGTGGTTGTGGAAGCAGAGAGACATTTCCCCATACTTAGAGCGTTAATACTGTTCCAAGGCAAGTATTTAAAGGAGCCCTAAGGTGCAACTTAATAGAGGAACAGCTTGTCAGTGTGCATCTGAAAACCACACCCTGTCAAAAGGTGGTGATCCTGCTGGAAAGTATTTTGTGGGTTTTGCTGACTCACTGGGGTGGCTGGCTTGTTACCTTTGCCAGACATAAAAGAAACAAAAGCACCTCTCAAGCAGCAATGCGTGTATTTGCGTGTCCGTGTGTACCTGTTTGTGCATTGAGGGATATATTGACACTATGGGAGGGGATGCTGAATGCAGTCATCTCAAGGAAAACATCCAATCTGCATATTTTGTATATTTTTATGCATTATATTGACTGCCTATATTTGTTAATAAATAAGACCCAGAGAAGCAGTGCTGGATATTGACACTCTGCTGTGCTGTTTTGTTCAGAAGTGATTATTGCACCATTTGATTAGTAATTGATATTTTCAGATGTGTTATGTTTTCACTGTCTCTCGTGCTACAGATATAGATGAATGCCAGCACCGATCACTCTGTACAAATGGACGCTGCAGGAACACAGAAGGATCTTTCAGATGTATTTGTAGCCAAGGCTACACATTATCTTCTACAGGAGATCAGTGTGAAGGTAAGCTTGTGGACTTAAGCTACTGATTCTTTTTTTTTTTTTTTTCCCCCAAAAAGATCTCGAGTATTTCAGCTGTAGACATGAACTCTTTTGAGAATGGGGCAGAACAATATGTTGCTCCTCTTTCTTTCTCTATACTTTGCTGTCAACCATTCAACAGTCTCCACCTACACAGCCACATAATTAATGGATTCTTAGAAATAGTCCCTGTCATCTTTCCACATAAAAGAAATCAGCACATGTGTTTTCAACAGTAAGATTGGAAGAGCAGTTGACATTATTACCAAAAACGATTAAGCCTTTCCAAACCTTGTTGTTCAAACTCTGACACAGAGGTTCTGTATTACAAAAGCTTCTGCCAGCATACACTATTCACATGGGGGCCTGCTAAGTTAAAACTTCTTCTCCAGCTGGTTTTGGGAACCTGTAGCCAGCCAGCACAATCCCATATGTGCACTGGCTGGAGAAAATATGTAGTATAAGATGAGCTCCAGGGGGATCTGCTGGAGCTCACGGCTTTCACTGTCTCAGAAGGCAGTCTACACACTGAGCTTGTAAAAACAAAAGAGGTGAAAGATGTACAGTAAATGTAGGGAGAAATGCTATGTTAGAGAAAACAGAAACATTCTATTATCTCTCAAATAGAACAATTGTCCACTAATTGGCAAACAGATTTTTTCTAATGAATTATTTCAAAGCTACTTCCTCTTCTCCATTGTTGGCTATACCACCTGATATGGTATGTCTGCTGCACTACTCATGGTCACCTTGAGCATGTGAGATTACTTACTAGTGAGCTCCAGAAAAGATTGTTCCTCAGTTGCTTCCTTATCTCACTCTAGCAGGGGGAAGAAACTCTCAGTTAAGGTCTGTCTCACTGTACATGTGGCATTAGCACATAAAAGCCTTCCAGTCTCCGGTGTAGCTTTCTCTAGCTGCTGATACCATGGAAAACACAACTTCTTACTGCTTTCTACCTAATAGCGTTCTGCTGCTAGGTTATCCTCCACACAGCACTCTAGGAGGCAGTTCCCACCTTCTCCCCCACAGCAATAGAACAGGAATCCTCCTCTTCAAAGTGATCCAGGCAGAAGAGCAGTTCCCTCTGAGCCAACCAAATGCCATCTTCTCAAGACAAACCTGTAATGTCAGATCAGGCTTTATCATCAATGATGATACTGGCACATTTAATGAGTGACAGCATCTCTTGAAGTTCTCGCCAACAAGGAATAAGGATATCTTATAATCTCCTCAGCACACTGATAGTCTTTGGTAGTGACCTGTTTGGAGAATCTGGTCATAGAAGAACTTAATACAATCTTCTCAGAGTTCCTGGTGAATACCAGCATCATTTGCATCAGCTTCAAGAAATGTAGGCTGATGATGCAAGGCACTAGGAACTTGTGTGAAAGAATTTTGCTCTCACCTGGCATCAAGATCTTCATGAGTTGCAACAGATACAGAGATACCTTGTCAAGAATCAAAGAAAAATGTGGTGGAAGGGATCACTGGTCCATCCTGCCTCCCAAAGGCAGAACAGACCATATAGTGTCATTCCTGACAGGTGTCTAACCTGCTCTGAGTAGGCTTCAGCAGAGGAGATTCCAAACATTTCTTCAAGCAGCCTGTGCCAGTGCTTTGCTGTCCTTGTGTCAGACTCTTTTTTTCCCAAATGTGTGATGGTAACTTCTATTGCTGCAGTTTAATTTATGAGTTCTTACCTCATCCACCTTAAAGAAGAAAAAGTTCTTTCTTTCCTTTCTTTCTCCCAGAAAGGGAGATGGTGAGAGTGAGATGCATAACCATTTCAAGCATTTTGGTTCCTTCAGCAAGAAGCCTTACAAACCATCAAGTCTGCAGAGAGAGATTTTGACTTAGTAAATGTTGTTAGCATGTGTGAGCATGTGAAATGATGAGTTAAACCATCTTGTAGTGAAGAAAAGCAAATGAAACATAGGAATGAATTTAAATCCATTGTAGTTGAGGACCAAATGTTTTCAGGAACTTCTCTTCAGACTGCTGTGGTGCATTCATACAGACCCAGAAGTCATGGTAACTGTTGCTCTCCATCACTATGCAATGGCCAGTCAGGACAGGTCCATGCTTTATCTTCATCTCTTCCTTGATCCTATTCAAGGGCAATTTTCAAGAAAAAATAATTTCAGAAGCTCTCAAAGCAAAAGAAGAGGGCGTGGACCATACAAGGAAAAAGGGTAAAACTGCTCCCTCACCCCAGAGTCTTTGTTTCATTTCAAACAGACTGTAACGAAATCTATAGCTTCTCCACCCAGTGACAGAGTGGTTAATTTCTGTAGAGACAGTTTGTTCACTGAAGATTTTCCTAAATATTACAAGTCCTGCACAAAATCTATTCATCTCTTGAAGTGGAAGAAATTGTTCTGTGGTTTCATTATATCCCTTCAATATTTTCTGAAGTACAGGATATTATGGACTGCTTTTTGCACCTTGGAAACTAAGTTTGAACAGACTGTACTTGTTCTGCTCTCAGTAAGAATGCTTTGTGGAACTACTTTATCTGCCATACATTCACCTCTCTTGTTTTTCCTTACCTTGTGATGTAAGTAGGCTCTATGAAGTACTTATTGCACTTTTAGGGAACTCAGTTAACTACAGGTTTAAATCTCACATTCTTTTCATGTCAGCGGAGGTGCTCAGCCTCACAGCCATGTTCCCATCTTCATAAAAGTGACTTTCCTCCTGACTGTTAGTTCAGCCAGATGTGTGCATGGACTACAGGCCAGAGCTTCCATAAAGAGAAAATCACCTTGAGAAGACATCCAGCGTTTCTCCACATGATGGCCTCTGGTTTTTGGATTTAGTCTATTTACCTGAATGTCTTCTAACGCTTCACAGAGAAAGCAGGAAAGAGATTACAGAAACTGTGGGTATAGCAGAGCACAGTTGTGTGAAAAGAACAGAGAGGTTTAAATTCTGTCCAGTTTCTGAAAGACTCAGGAATGGACATTTGTCACGTCAGAGGATACCCAAAAACGTATCAGGCTGTAAAGCCAATGTGATTGGCAAATCACTTGCAAGAAATGTGCTTGTTTATTTAATAAGGATTTCTTCTACTTCAGAAGTTTCCTTAAAAATATAGCAGCTCAAGAAGCAGTTTGCTGGTTGGATCATTATATGCTTGTACAAACTTCTCGGGATACTGCAGAATTTGGCAGAATTATGCTGTGCTCATTTTCAGCTGTGCTTTTTGCAGCTCTCTGGCTGAAGTTTTTGTCTGGAAGTCTTTGCACAGTATTTCACTTGTTTAAGAATAAAGGTAATTTGCAAATAATTGTTCTGTATATTGGCATATACATGCAGTATACATGCTCTGTATGCATCCTTACACTGAACCCTTCAGAAAATGAGAAAACTGGACTGAGGCCTTCATACCTTCAGTTCTGTCTGAGAGCAGTAATCCCTATGTCTGTTCCTATTGTAAATACCTGTATACCCTGTTATCCATGGCTGAAGAACTTTTCCCTTCTGCAGTACCTGTAGAGACTTGCTATTAGCTGTTTGGAAATTAGTAGCCTGGAAGTACGTGGCCATCTATGGGTGGGCTGTACACAAAACTTTCCACTTGAAGACAGAAAAGAGGTTACTTCCTAGTAGTCAGAAGTCTCCAAGATGCATGACCACATGCATGTTTATTGTCTTTCTGCCTTTTGTTCTTGAGATGAAAGGATATTGAGGCTTTCTGTTCTGTGTTGCTCTGAATATGAGGGAAAACAAACTGTGAGTGCACCTGTGGGTAAAAAGGGTTGGCCTGGTCTCAACTGACAGGAAGTATGGATATGCACCAGCTGGACTTGCATAAAGTCAGCACATCTCAAAGAACTTGGGCTGCTGGAAGAGTCTGTCTGAAGCATAGGAGGCTCCAGGGCTCTCCTAGGAGCCTTCAGGGATTTTGCTAGCCAAAATGCTCTAGATGTGCACCTGTAAAGGGTAGTAAAAAGCACTGAACATCTCAAGCATGAGTTACTGTTTTTCTGGATTTTCTACTGATTTTTCTGGAGATTCTTGTACAGCAACCGTAGGACCTATGAAGAGTTGCATCAGAGAAAGGGAGGTTTGCATCCTGTATGAAATATAATGTGTTTTGACCGCATTTGGCAGAAGACACCTTCTTGTTGTGCGACTTGGCATTAACTCAGCACAAGGGAGTTGTTAATTTTTTCTCATGCTCCTAGTGAAAATTAATTGCTGTTTTAAATGAACCACAATTTATTTCTCAGCTGAAAATGATTACAAGACATGGTTATCAAATGGTCACAACTTTGTCAGCATTAAGTGCAGTTTTATCTGCAATAACATTCATTTATGTAAGAAAGCTATCCCTATTTCTTATTTTTATCAAATAGATTAAATCCCTAGGATAGTTGCACTTTGATATAGTGTGGGCTTTGCATAGATAACTGTAGAAATGAGGTCATATCCTTTTTTTTAATTACAGTTGTTATTTATTCCTGCAACACAGGAAAAAGTTACCATTCTAATTGGCTAAAATCCAAGGTTAAGAAGTCAGAATAATCAAAGGCAGTGGAAAAACTCTTTGATAACTGTTTTTCAAAGGAAACTATCTGCATTATCAGAGCAATAGACTCAATGAGTTACGAGGTAGGGCAATGTGTAGGCAAGGGAAAGTTGCTTATGAGATGCTTCTTTTACTTGACTCTCTTATTTTCTGTTTTCTTTTAAAACTAGAGGCACAGTCATGAAATACTTTGTATATTTAGCTGTCATGAAAGAAAACTATAATATCGCTGGAATGTAGGTACTTGCTGAGTCAATCCTGTACCCACAGCAGCTGTGCTCCATTTCCTCTGGGGAAGAAAAGACTTTAGGAGGAGACAATGCCAGTGTCCTGTTCTTGAAATATTTGATTACTTTGTATCTAGTTTGTATCCTGAAACTTGCCCTGCTATTTGTCGGTCAGCATGTTTATCCCACGGATGTCAAGACGCTGGGGGAGAGTCTACAGGCCTGAGGCTTGGTGCTGGGATCGTGGTGTCCAGGCAGCCGGGAGCTAGACCCTGCCTGCCCTGACTCTGGAGCTGGGTTTATGGCTTGGGTGCAGCACTGTGCAAAAGCAGCTGTTCAGCTTCGTGACCAAGCTGCTCAGCCTGAAAAATGGCTGTCGTGCATCGCATGAACTGCCTCTGAAAAGGCAACCATTAGCACAGCAGTACGCACAGTGTGGTCCCTGTCCTACAAGCCTCCTGTCCATGCGGTTGGTTTGTGAGTACTCTCCACAGCTACCTGTCTGGTGTGACACAGCAGCCATGCTGCGGCTTGCCCATACCCTGCGGGCTGTCTGACTTGGGTCACTTCCGGCTCAGGGATCTCTCTGTAGTGGTCTAAACATGTCTGAAGGTGAATATTGTAAACTACAAATTTGCATTAGTAGGCATGTTTTGTGTCTGTCTTCTAACTGTACAGCTGCTTGGATTTTCTTGTTAATTGTACTGTTCTAACACCACAGGCATCATTAAAGTGGGGGAGAGATTGGTATAAAGGTCTATGATGATAGCTCATTAGAGATGCAGATGGCACGTATTAGACAAGCTTGCTAAGAATAAATGACACAAACTCAGATTTTAAAGTTCTCTAGAAAATACAAGAAGTTTGATGATAAGATGAAACAAAGGGATATTCTAAAGTGGAGTAAACGATTCCACACACACACACACACACACAGAGTTACTAAATGATATAGTAGCTTCAAGTTGCTACACTAGTATCAAAGTATCACCATTACAAGTTTCATCAGTTTTTACATCATCTAATTATTCAGTTACATTTTTATTTCAGATGTTGATGAATGCCTTCAAGACAGTGATATTTGCCTTAGAGGAAACTGCATGAATACTGACGGGTCTTACAAATGCACTTGTCCAGATGGTTTCCAGCAGATAGCGAATAGGGGATGTCAAGGTATGAAATAGCTATAAAAAATACCTTATATAAATGTGCAAGTTTGTAAGTATAACTTGTGATAGTCACAGATCATGCTCAGAAAGACACTAATTTTATTTATCATTTGTAGTACTTTCTTACTCTTCTCATTTTATATTGCTCTCTGTAAATATATGTTGAGAAATTATTATTTCAAGAGGCTGAAATCTCAGCCTTCATAACTTGAAAGAGAATCTGTACTAGAACTAACAGAGATACAGTGCTGCATTTTTCCAAATCCCGAGAACATTTATTTTGACAAAACCTTCTATGTTTGTGAATCAGCGATGTAACAGAAAGAACAGTACAGTCAGTGTCAAGTCACATTAGATAAACCTCTCTCACCTCTAAAACACTTGCGGTGCTTTGTGGAGGATGGGTGAGGAGGAAGAGAGTGTGTTATCTGAGGCTGAGTCAGCATTGACAAACCCAGAAAAATACTTCTCAGCTTTTAGTTCTGAGCGATCCCAACTCCGTGTTGGTACAACATCCAGGCGTGCCTCGTGACTCCCTTTTGCCATCCGTGTTTATGAGATGAGAACCATGGTATTAGAGCTGGAAAGAGGTAGTGTGTTCATGCTCTAAAGGACTGGAGAACCACGAAGCTGGGCTTAGCTTTGGTTGCTCTCCCACCCACAGCTTAGACTTGAGCCGAGAGACTGTATTCCAGCTGATCTATGTTGAAGATCTTGTGCAGCCAACAGTAAATTCCTTGTAAGTTTTGAGTATTATATATGTGACTGCTTTCTAATTCAGAAAATGTTGCATGTGACACAGGGAAGTGCTGTATTAGACCTTGCTTTAGCAGATAAAAGAGAATCGATCACAAGTTATAAATCAATGCCAGCATGTATACCACTCTATTCTCTTCACTCCGCTATGTAAAGTAGTAGTATACAGGCTTCATGTTTTAAACGGATAAGCATAACAAAACTGAAAGCACTTATGAGCCAACTAAGGGACAGACAGTATAGACAGTAGTTTTAACAGAAAAATGTGAATGAAAATTGGAAATAATTTCAGGTAAGAGCGCCATACTTGAGAAAGACGACCACCAACACTAAAAAGAACAGCTTGCTACAGTTACACTTTTTTTACTGTGTTGACTACTTGTTGGTGAGCTGTTACAGAATGCAATAGTAGAATTGTTATTTGTCAAAGATAAAAGTCTTCAATATATTTTCTTGTCCTGTAATTTATACTGGACAAAACTAGCAAGACTTGTATCATGAATGATGACTTCTTCTTTACATTTCCACAGTACCTCCAAAGTATTATAAACTGAGACATTTTTAAATGATTGAAAGTTAGGTCTATCACAGTTCAGTAACAGCAAGAAAAAAACATAAAATTTTTGAGAGAATTTACCTGGAGAGATTAGGGGCATGGTAAAAGATCAAGATAATAGGCCACTAGAGCAGAGTGATCTTGATCACATGGTCTACTGGCTATGAGCAAACACTATGCATTTCAGTATATCCAGTTCTGTATTGAACAAGGAGTCTCAGCCATGGTTGTAGGGCAGTGGACTTCTTTCTGGGACATAGTCACTGAAAAGCATTTAGGGGTCAGAGAGAGTCAGCTGAGTATGAGCTTCCAGTGCAACCCTGTGGCCAGTAGGACTAATGCACTCCCCAGAAGATTGAAAAAGCAGAATATCCAGCAGGAGTAAGCAAGGTTTGTTTACCTCTCCTTTGCACGTTGTTGTACGCTGACGTTCTGGTGCCCGCAACTCAAAATGGATGCTGATCAGCTGAGGAGAGTTCAGGGATGAACGAAAAAAGGCTGATGGCCAGGGGGAAAAAAGATTGAATGCTTTTAAACTTTATTTACTTGAAGAAAAAAATGAGGGGTGACTTGATCATCATAGCCTTATTACCTTCAAAGAAAGCCATATCTGAAAGTAGAGAGCTATTGAATTAAACTGGCAAATTTATCACAGAATGTGGTGTCTTAAATTGCATCTGGACTAGACTAGAAATTAGGAGCATGTGTTTTGGTAAGGAGCAAAGCTGAAAAGAGTCCAAAGCACGAGAAAGTGTGCAGTTTGCCCTTTCAGGTGAATTATACTCTATTTCCCTAACGTTGTTACTTTTGTTTTCCTCACTTTTAATAGATCATTCTGCCATGTGTAATCATCTGGTTTGGTTTCCTGTATTTTTGTGGCAGTTTTAAGAAGCTGACAGCTTAGCCTTGAGACCAATGTGCAGGATGTACCGTACTGTTCTTGTCATTGCCTATCTCCCACCGTACCTGACTTTCAGAGAGCTTTGGGGAGTATGTCATTGATCTGCATTTATCTTGAATTCAGAAACTTGACACATGTAGGCGCTGTGTGAAGTGCAGCGCACTGACTTTTCCCTGTGCGCCTCATACGGATACTACCCTTCCCTGAGCCGCCTTTGTTCTTTCCACATATGTGCCATAACTTCAGGACACTGGCCTAGAAGGTTTACACACAGGATAGAATCAGTCTGTATCCAAACAAAATTCTATAATGGATGTCATGGGTCTTGAAATTATGGTATCGAAATCATTGTTTCTCTAGTCTATCAAAATTACTGTCTACTTTGATGCATTTTGTATGGCTGTAACAATGGCGAGAATCTAAGACACAGTTAAGAAGAAGAAATTCTAGTATCTGTGATGATGGATGAATGAGCTACCTGGGTAAGTTTTGTTTGTAAATTTGTGTTTGAACTCAGCATGGTACTTAAAACTTCTTAATCATTTTTTGTAAAGCAAAATACAAAAGTGCAGTTACCATGTGAACGGTAATTCATGTGAAAGTGGTACCTCCTTAATGAATAAATACAGTCCTTAAGTTCTCATGGCAGGTTTTCTTGTTAAGATGAGACATCAGTCAGAAAGAAATGCTTGTTTTTCAGATTCACAAGTTTGAAAGGCAGTGTTTGAAAAATGCTTTCTAAGTTTGTGGGTTTGGTTTTGTTGGTTTTAAAAAAAAAATTATGACAGACTCCTCTTATATAGCAACCTTTTGGGACTATTCCCATTCCCCATCAGCCAGAAAGAGCATTTGCCTTTAAATTCTATAAAATCAGCCTACCGGGAAAGATGCAACTCCAGACCTGCCGGTAACACATGGAGCCAGATGCAGAAATTGACCAGCATGCAGCAATCAAAAAGCAGTGAGATGGAGCCGTCTGAGAATTCCCCTAACAGAGAAGAAATGTTGGCTAGTATGGAGCTTATACTGATATCTCACAAATCACTCTCATCTGCTCATCCTCACTGCAGAGTGTGATACAGTCAGAGTATGATGCAGCAGAACGTACTGATGCCTATACAGAGTTTAAGAATGATCCCAGATTTGGTAACTCTGGAAAATGAGCTCCGTTTACGGTAGCTATTTACATAGCTGATGGGAATAAAAGCTGCCTTTAAGACTAATTGAACTTAGCCTTAACATTAAGGGTATGATGATTTGCAAAGCTATTAATGTCTCTGTGTTTTCAGATATCAATGAATGTGAGAGATCTGACCTCTGTTCACCTCACGGGGAGTGTCTAAACACGGATGGTTCCTACCAGTGCATATGTGAGCGGGGCTTTTCTGTGTCTGCAGATGGCCGAACGTGTGAAGGTGGGACAATTTACAATAATGCATTCCCATTGATTTGCTGTTGTTAGTTGGGTGAGAAAAGCAGTCAGTTTGGGTCTAATACCCCCAAACCACTATTAACTCCGCAATCTGCCACCCAAGGCCCCTTTGTTCTTTTTCTTGTAAATGCACGGCATGCTGTGTTGCTGTTTGAATCATAAGAAGTATAACAGGAAATGCACAAAATGGGCAACGTAATGGAGTTAATGTTTGTTACAAGCTGTGTATCACTGGATTTTTAATAATTTTGCTATCTTACATTGGATCGTGGTTTTTTGAGCAAAAGAAATCAGTGAAAAAGAAGGAATACTAACCTAACTATGGCAAATTATGGCAAAGGAGGGAATGATATTTTTATGTTAAGATACATGAAACCAGTGGACATCTGTAATAATGGGAAAATATTCATAGATGGGAAATTATTTCTATCTTATAGCAGGGGTGGAAGGAATAAATATGTACAAAATACTTGTAAAGTGAGTTTGGAACTCAGGTTTCTGATAAGTTTCAGTGGGTAAGACATTCCTGCCATAAATATTTAGGATTATTTCATTTAAAGCTTCTTAAGTGGATTAGCAGCAAGTCTGAGCTGCCAGAATGTTCTCATTGCTGTGTGGGAGACAACAGAACTTTGCTTGTTGAGAATTTATTTATTTTTTTTTTAAAGAGATGCAGATGAAGCATCCCTACAACAGAAGTAACTCCAGTGAGAAACTGTAGTAAAATGCTATTTATGATAAAACCTCAGGCATTTTGAAATGGCAGAAATGGAGTAAATAGCAGTAATTATATGTTTACAGTGCCAAAGCCAGCTTATTCTCAGTAAGTGTATGCAGGTATGCTTATACAGGTATTTTTCATACAAGGTTGTAAAAGCTGCTCCAGCAATAACACTGATGAGAAACATTAGCCAGGAGCCTAGAATTTAGGTGTAACCAGGGTTTTTATTTGGTTATAGCATGAGAATATATCTTGCTGCTAATGGAATGCACACTCTTGTAGGTGATGCTGCTCTCCTGCACTGAATTTAAAATAGGAGACTTGTGCTCAATGATACCAAGAAGTTATGTGGCTTTGTGTAGTCAGTGATGCTGACAGAAAACAAAAATGCCCCTAACTGGGTAAAGAATAGCTGTTCTTATGGATGAGAGGACTGTTCAAGACAAGAAGCCTTGTGGGAAAAGTTCAGAAGGGGAGAAAGTTAAATGGTGGTAGTCTGGCAGGATGCGTGCAGAGGAGAAGCACTGAGCAGATGATAGCTCGGTCTTAAAACCTGTGGGTAGTGGATCTCAGGCATCCAAGCAGCAAGCTCTTCTCTATCCCAAATGACAGGCTAGTAAGTTCCTATGTGATTGGTTTTCATGGGCCAGCTCCTCTCATAGTTCACTTAGGTTCTTCCTTCAGTGGAGGAGGTGTATTGAAACTTCTGACTCTTGCATTTACTCCCCCTGCTTTTACCAGAGGAACAACAGCCTTACAGCATTATTGTTTGAGCTGGCATATAACCTGCCGTATAGTTAGTAATATAATATCTAATGAAATTAAATACGTTACTGGCAAGAGTACTGTTAGGCTGATGTAAGGGAATAAGTGCTGTATGTTTAGATATAGCATGACATCAAACACACTATTTGTGTTTTAATTATTATTGATAACTAAAAAAAATCCTGCAGTATTTTTGGTGCTTTTTCCTCTCTAAACATTTACTTTATTTTGTAATCATGGCAGAAGTTGAAAGAAACATTCTCTTACTGCCAAGACAAAAGCCTGGTCAAGTAGACTAGAGAGTGAATCTGAATAACTCCAGTGATTGATGGGCCAGGCAGTATTTTGTGATTTCAAGTAACGGGCATAATTCCAAAGCATGTTCCTGGACTCTTTTGGCAGCATGTATACATTTCACCCAGCGTTTAGGAAGGATATGGTTAAATATCTTCAAATTCTCTGCAAGAAAAGTAGTAGCAGGTGTTTTGCCTCACTGTTGAGCATAGCTAAAAAAAAAAAAAAGCGGTCAGAGAAGAATGCAGCCTGCTCTTAGTAGAAACCAAACACTTTATTCCAAACCAAAGTTAGAAGAACACTTATTCACCTTGTGAAATCAAACTCTCAGAAATTTAAAAAGGCAGAAATGAATAGAAACACAACTTTAAAAAAAAAAAAGTCAGTGGCATCTGATTTTAGGGCATGTACCAGAAACAATGAGCCCCTCTGTCTGGATCTCTGACAGTTAATAAAGTTGCACAGTTCCCAGGGAAGGGTTACCATCACATATGATGAAGTAGTACAAAGTTAATCTCCATTAGAAGAAAAAAAAGGCAAACTTTTACTAAATAGAAAAAGATGAAATCACAAGATCTTATTTCCAGGACTGTGAGTAGTTTTGGAACTTTTTAATGAAGAAAAAAACAAGTACAAAACCAGTTGAGCGTGCTTCACAAGTAATTGGTGGTGTGTATGGAATACAGATCAGACTTTATATTCAGCACTTGGAAAAGTATTTTAATAACTTGGCGGAGCAAGGGTACTTCTAGTCTTCTGAAGCAGCAGCACTCCTTTTCTACCACGATTAGTTTCTCCATTCTGTCATTTTAATAAAAACAATTCTAGAGTTGAAAAAACTCATTTGAAGGGAGCACTGATGGCGTCAGTGTTAATATTTGTAGTGGTGTCAGCTTCATGCAAAAAGGCAAGACGAAACAAAAGGATCAGAAACCAAAGGAACGTGTGACATTCCAGGTACTGAGAAAGGATGTGGCTTCCAGCCACAGGAGCTAGCTACTGTTCTTTACACTAGGTGCCTCTGCGAATTTACTTCTAGTTAAGTGAGTGAGAATAACTGTTTATACCATCAGAGAAAGAACCTGAGGAAATTTTGCTGGATTCAGACGCCTCTCTGTACCTGGGGAGCAGATTTTCCATATCTCCAGACTGTTTTTGTACAAATTTGACTCGTTTTTTTGAAAAGTCAGAAACAACAACAACATAAAACATTTAAGAATCCCATGTGGTTCAGTTCTGGTATGAAGTTTTTATGGCCATTGGCCAAAGTAAACTGAACAGCTGTGGAGACTGTGTCTTCTTCCAAGGTGTAGACAAACTTTTGTTGTAGCGGTGACATTCCACTGCTGCCTGGCCTCAGGCTCAGTAATTTGGCTGCGCCAGGCTCTCTGAACAGGAGGCTCTTGCAGCACTCCCTAGGTCCCTGTTGAGCTCTCTGGGGTTCCCATAAAGGCAGCGTTTTACCCAGTTGGCTGCTAGTCAACTGTGTTGGCAAAAACTCAAGTTAGAGGTTCTCTGATGCTTAAGTCAATACCCTGCCCCAAGCGCCTCTTCTGTCTCCATGTCCGATTCCATATGTCTCTCAGTGGCTCCCTCACTTTTCCCTCTCTGCTCCAAGCCCTGAGCTTCACTGCCTGCCTCAACAGGCACTCCAAAAAAACTTACACATCCCACGAGAGCTCTCCAATCTCTGCTTCTTCCTTTCCCCTCACTTACTGTCTTGTATCCTGTTCTCCTTTCCTTGTCCACTGATTAAGTCACCCGTCTGAGCCCTTTGGATGCTTGCACAGAGCATCCACAGATCATTCTGTGATCAACAAATAATTTACAAATCTGTACGCCAAGATGCTACATCGTCCATCATTTAAGATGACCGCGTTTGAAAATCAGGAAACAAAGAGCAGAGCTGTGAACAGTCCCTAACTGTTACCTCTGCCACCAAAGACATTTTAAGAGAGTAGAAGTTTGCTGTAACTGCTCATCCCAACCATAATTGTGCCCATATATAGGGAAGACAAGGCAGCTTTAGGAAAAGGGTATGGTAAATCTAGGACTTCTTTGGGGGCAAAGTATTATCTGTTACATGGAGTAAATTTTATGCAGTAGACAACTTCACAGCTTCACTAAATCTCTGGTTAAATACCAAAGCAAGCAAGCTTAGGCTTCTGCCAAACAGATTCAAGTACGCATCTCCAGAGTGTGCCCCAGTGAGCTACCCTATTGTTTCACAGTGAGTAATCACAGACTTCACCAGCCTTCATGCATTTGCTGATAGAGGTGTTTTAGGGCATGAACTACTTCTTGTCTGGATGCTGGCTAGAGCAGTAAGAACACAAGGGGAGAAACAAGAATCTCTTTCTTGTTACGCACAACCTTGGAATGACCATCCAGCATTATTGCCTCTAGATGGCCAAAGTCTTTATTCACATACTCATTTTTCTAATCAGTGATTTTTATGTATGGGTGTTATGGGCAGCCCTGGAAGTCTCAGAATCAAAGTTCTGTTCCCCGAAGCACTACACAGAACTGTCCTAGGAAACAATTCCTCTTCCAGTCACTTCAGTGCGATTTAAAAATCACGCCTGAGGTTAAGTATGCCTTCATCTTCTTCAGGTTGGCAGAAAACAGGAACACGGTGTTGACCTGAGCGCACACGTTTTGCCCTTCTTTAGATCCTGATGACGTTAGATCAAAGGAGTTTTGATTAAAGCAGGCAGCTCTGAGTCATGGATTCTAAAACAGGTTGTAATTACAGAGAACTCCTTTAGTCACAGTATAGACATAGGATATATTAGTTTCATATTTAGTTTTTCCCCTTGCTTTGTCTCCCTGTAGCAAGAGAATTGCCGATTACAAACAAGCCTCCTGCTTTACAGAGTGATTAAAGAAACAAATGCCCTTTCCGGCTGTAAAACAGGAGTCCTTTGAGTGAGCTGTCTAGACAAGGAAAAATATTTGGTGCTTGGACCTCCTCTGTAATTTCCCATACACTGAAAGATCCAGTCATGTTCAGACTGTGTACTTTTGAAAAACAAAACAGTCTTCTGTGGCTATATTATATACCAAATTAGGACACTTGCTACAATCACAAGTTTTGTTTCTGCAGCTTTTTTGTCAGTGACCTTAGTTTACCTTTGGAGAACCAGCTGTGTGATCCATTGCCCTATCTGTTTCCTTTAACATTTAGCAATTAAGTAAGGGAAATACTGTAATTTACGTAATTCTAAAATCCCCAGTTGTAGTGTCTTCTGTCTAGGTTTTTAACAGAATAGCTGTTCTGTGGTTCAGGAGCTTTTGTTATTAAACTATACTGGGCCACTGAAAATACAAACTCTGTGTTATTGTCTGTAGTCTTAAATTCCTGGCTGTAAATCCACCGTTGTTTACTCATTTTGAATTCCTTTTCTTAACTTTTCTTAACAAAATTTTCTAAACAAGAGATAGAGTATTCAGATTTTTTGACCCAGATATGTTAAATTCTGATGATCACATGAAACTAAATATTAAAATATGTTATGCAGGTATAGTGCACAGCAGCAAGAGGGAGGGACCAGAAAAACACAACCGTAAAGAATTTGTATTTTCTTCCTCCCAGTAACTCTATATGCATCCTTTTATAACTCTGTCATTATGGTGACTGGAAAAGGGTATCAAAGGTAATAGTTGACCTTTCACTCTTGACAGCGGCTTTAATACAGATATGTCGCTTAACTCTTGTTGCTGAATTAATTCTACTAGGGAGGGCTTGTGGTAGATTTCATTAAGTTCAGTATGCAGAAACCACCCAAATTTTCATATTCAGTTCCTTGAAAATAAGCATACTAGCCATTGTATTCTTTGCCAAATTATAAGTAACCCTTTCCATGATAAATTCCTTCAATATTTTTCCTTTGTTTAATAAATCAAGATATAAAGACCATTAAAACCTTTATAGACAAAACCAACAAACCAAATAAATTATTCTGCCAGTTCCATCTGCAAATACTTTTTTTATAATTCTCAATTATACTCATCTATGTCTCATAGATTTTGGTGTATGTAGTACATACAGTTTTTGCATGAATTTTGTATTTTAGCTGAAAGTTGTTAACCAGTGGATCAGGTGAGTTTTCCATCACTTAAACATCCTAAAGTGAAATTAGATGCCTTTCTGAAAAAGATGTTAAAATTCCACAATTTACTCCACTGGTACAGAAATTGCCAGAGACAGTTTTTTTATCTATTTAAGAGGTTGTGGATAGTCTCTTCTGGCCTTGAAAATTTATATGTGATTCTAAACCTGTTCAAACCCCAAGCACAGCACATAGGAAAAGCTGGTTTTCAAGACCCCAAAAAAGCCTCTCCCTGAGGCAGACGGAGGCATGAGGATGAATTTGAGCACTTGGGGAGCAAGAGGGCAGCACAACAGGTAGCCTGTGTGGATGGTAATGACGTGCTGCTCAAATCTGGATAGCTTGGGGAGCTGTGACCACGTGGCTCAAAGACCAAGAATTCCCTTTCAGCTGAGCATCAGACACAATTTAAAATTAAAAATGTCCTTGCTTGGTGAGCACTATCAGGAGAAGAATGAGGTGCATCTTTGCTGGAGAGCTGGAAGAGCAGACAAGGACTATGTTTGAGCCCTACTCTCTCCTTTCAGAAAGACACCAGCAGCAGTGCTGCCCACCTGTTCAAAGAAGCCCTCTCTGTGGCAATGCAGGATTCAGTCCCACCAGCTCTTTAGTTCAGTGAGAGCCTCAGGCCTTGACTGAAGGTAGAATGATGGTAGGCCCCACCACATTAAGGTCTACTCTAACGTGCAGAATTAATGATAGTAGCTAGTACCCAGATAAATCAAAAGCGAATCACTTTATTCACCATTTAAAATGTAATTCCCCCTTAGGCACAGTGCAGAAGGTAATTCCAAATGGACAGCAACCTCGCTTAACAGTCATAATGGTTTCTAGGAAAGAAATAGAGCAGTAAGTTCTCTGCTTCAAACTGCAGAGGAATTTAGAAGGCAAGAAGGTAGTAATCCTATTATCCTGGCAGGTTCAGTTAATATTCTTCCTCCTGAAAAACATACCATGACATCTTTAATGACCACAGATGGTCAGGACCTTGGGTTTAGGTCTTATTTTGAGTGAAGATAAAAATAATACATTTCTAGCACTTGTAATACAGCACGTTCTGCCACAAGCAGCTCTGCTTCATTACAGCCTGATGGGCAGCTGAGTCAAAGAACAGACTTACTCATGCAAGTGACTCTTACTTGTAAGGCCAGCAAACCACAAATGGGAACTACAAAAGAAAAAGAATACGGGCATTGTAATTACTTTGCCTACCTGAGTAAGATTATTCATGTGTAAACTTACAGGATTAAAGCCAGAAGGCTCAGTCCACAGATATTTACCGCTTACACATACACCATGAAATTCTCTTCTGTGCTGAGAGCCAGAATGAGATCTGTGCAGCACTTCTGCACAATGGATGCAACCATACCCTTGAACTCTCCTTGTAGGCACAGTGGGTTCAGTTTCACACACATGTTGTTGACTGTATAATGCTACACCGGCAGAATCTGTAAATCAGTCAGAGAGATGGTCATATTTAAACTGTGTCTTACTCTGTGCTATGTAGCATCATGCCATGGTTGGCAGGTTTGGTGAAACAGATGGGAGACAGTTGATCAAAATCATTGTCTGAAATAAGGTATTTCCTGTGAAGTTAATACTGAAACAATTTCTTAAATTGTAGGTATGCTTACATTAAATATTTGTGTCTTGTCCTTTGTTTTTTCCTTCCCAACGTATAGAGGGGCATCGCTGCATCTGTTTGCAAATATGGCCAGTCTGTTGTTTTTCTGCACTCTTCATAAATGTCTACCTTTGACTGTCACACGGCCTGTCTGATGTTAAAATTCTTCCTTACAGATGTTGATGAATGTGCGAACGGCACAATATGTGGTAGTCACGGGTTCTGTGAAAATATGGATGGCTCCTACCGCTGCCTCTGTTACCAAGGGTATCAGGACCCACAGGATGGGCAAGGGTGTACGGGTGAGTTCTTAAGCACGAGCAGTCATTCCTGCAAGGTTCTAATGAGCAAAAAGCGGCACAGGAGCAAAATGCATTTCTTCACAAGAACATTTTTGTTTTCCGTCATTTTTGGTTAAAGTTGTACCACTTACTAGTAAAATAAGGTTGAGCTGTGCTTTACTCACTGAACTTTGTGCCAGATGGAAACTTAACTCCGTACCTGTTTAATGAGAACCTGTTATTAGGATTGAATGGAAACCAACAGCAAATAAGCTGAGCGACTCATTTTATCTCTTAAAACAAACAAACAAACAAAAAAAAAAAAGTCCACTATTTCTGCACATCAGAACCATTCACAAATATAAATTGTAATAGATTGAATTTAATACTTTAGCCAATTTAAATGCAACATCTGTTTAGTCTCTTAGCTGAATAACCAGAACTCTGTACTACCCCCTACAGGAAATAATGTCTGGCATGTGATACAGCCAGTCGGAATAAGATGGCACACTCCCCTCCCTAGGCACATCGTATTTGAACTGGTTTTAACATTGCCTTCAAGCTCCAGGAAAGACACCTATCACCATGAAAAGATGTGAGATTTTTGTAGATGTGTAAATACTGCACATTTCTCTTATGAGCAATAGGTTTCCAGATCTGTTGTTAATAGTGATGGTTGGACCTGAGATCCATCTGAGGCAGCATGATTTTCTAATATAAAATTAATACCAGATCAAGGAAAGGTATTCATTAGGCAACTTCTTCAAGCCAGACTCAGGATGAAACACATTTACCAAGAAGAGAGACCTAAATGGAATACAGAACAGAGAGGAGAAGTTAGAAGTTTTACAGAAGTGTTTGTATGTGTTTTCTAATATATTAGTTTTATTACAAAATTCTTTATGCCATTTGGCACTTAGTTTGCAACATACCAATGCTTACTTTTGCATACAGTGACTTTTCAGGGATGAAAACAAATGAAGCAAAGACAGGAGGGAAAAAAAAAACCAGCAAAGCAAAAGCTGGTGTGAAACTGAATTTAATTTTGAGTTGTCAGTGAAGTGATTATGCACCATAAAATAATGTTTTCTTGTGTACACTCTATAATATCAAAAACTCTTAGAAATTTTGATGCCAGTTATCTACCAAAACAATTTTAGGAAAAGGTACGTCTCTTTAGTTCCTGGCCTGGCAACATTCCCCAAAGAAGACTTGCTCCTTATGACAGGAATCCAGCAAAAAGATAAAGAAAAATCTAAGTACATTTTAAAAGTGCTGAGCAAACCATAAGTTAAAATACATATTTATATGAAAATACACAAAAATCAACAGTCACGTGACTATATTTTCATTCTTGCTGGATAAGATGTAAAAAGGATAAAGCATTGCTTCACAAGTTATACTTTAGACCACAATTATAGAAATTTCTGAATTGTGATACAGAAATTATAATTTTCAGATTCTGTCACTAGTAGACAAAGTAGATTTTCAAACGTAAACTTTAGCAACTGAAAAGAGACTAAAGTTGAGTGATCCCAACAGTATTTGGTAACCCTTGTTTAAACAGCAGACAACTCTTCCATCAATCAAAAAAAGCATTTTGGGGGCAGACTAATTAGCAGATATATGGAATCCCAGTTAAAAATATGTAGGGTGTTTTGGGGAAAGGAAATTCACAGTGTTTGGCAGGGGCTCGCTGGCTGACCTGGGCATATTCCTCGTGGGTTCCAGAGCAGCCTGTGAGGCCGTGCACGAGGTGCACGTGGTGGCGGTGGGGCTGGGGAATTCACTGTTCAGTAGATGTTCCCAAGGAAAATGGGATTTTGAGGAGAAAAGGGTATTCTCTTTTCATAGTGCAGTCTGAATTGCACCAAAACCTACTCATTTTGCTCCTTGAATTCAGTGGAAGTTTGATAATAACGTAAGTTAAGAAAACAAATTAAATGAGTCTGAATCAAATCCCACAAAAAGGGTACAAAGAAAAGCAAGTATTTAAAAATGAGAAAGGAACTCGAAAAACCCGAAAAAAATGAAAGCCAGTGTTCTGGTCTACAAGCAGCACCTCATCAGCACCAATAGTCTATAAGCTGCACTGTGGCTTTCAGGGGCCTTTATTTCAAAGGACTGACTACTTGTTTATGATTCCGCTTAGGTATTAGTGAGTTTTTAATCCTTCCCCAGAGATCACATCTGTAATCTGGCAGACAGTATCAGCACAGATACAGCAGATAAAAGAACAAACTGTCAGTAATGAGTCTGAATTGATTTATGGTTTGGATTTTTTTCCCCAGATGTGAATGAATGTGAAATGCTGAGTGGAGTATGTGGCGAAGCTCTCTGTGAAAATGTCGATGGTTCTTTCCTGTGCTTGTGCTCTGATGAAAACCAGGAGTATGATCCGATGACCGGACAGTGCCGCTTCCGCACCTCACCAGGTAAAATGCCAATGGATTTTTGCATGCTTGGCATGATTTCCACTACATATGTAACCAATGGAAAGGTGAAGTTGGTTTAAATGTTGGTGTTGCTTTAACTACAACAGAAACATTCAAAACTCTGTTTTCTTGAAAGCGTGTGCATGAGAAGAGGCATTTCTAGGATGGAATATCTTATCAGTGAATCTTTAGCAGTGAAAATATAGCAGAAATACCTTCTAAATTTTATATGTCAACAGACTTGGCAGTAATAATGAACAGTTACAGCAGTTAAGAGTAAAGTCTCTTGTCTGCTGTACTGTAAGAATGAAATGTGATGTGGAATCAAGGCTCTGGCCTGAGTGATTCTATTTTTTGTTCAAATTTTTACAAACTTCCACTAGTATGCTTGGACAATGTTTAAGGGACCATATGATTTGAACCAGAATTCATATATAGCAGTATCCTCTTAGTATTATCTAGTACTAACCTAAGTCCTCAGAAAAGGCAGTTGGGAAAGCAAAAAACCAAAACACTTAATTGTTGTCAGTCTCCTTTTGTGGCTTTTTGAGTGCCCTTGCCTGTTTTGCTCCATCTTTTCTCCTGTTTTTCCTAGTAGTCCATTGTACCGGATTTGTGAGCTTTTGTTATCAGATGTTTTGGGTGTTGCAAATACTACTGGAAACACACTCATTAAAAATGTGTTTAGAACTCTTAACGTGGCCTCCACTGATCCAATTTGGAGAAAGGAACAAGCCCACAATAAAGCAACAAAGTATGAGAAATTAAGGGATTTACTTGCACAGTTGGGTTTGGGTTTTTTCCCCCTCCAGAATGCAAATCTTGGTATTTTTCTTATTTTGCTCTTACACTGCATGCTGATCTAGCTTCCGGAAACCTTCAGAATAACTGGCTCTAGTGCCAGGATGCAGACCCTACAGCTTACAAGGCAGTGGCTGTTTTCTCCTATCACTCATGGTCTTTCAGCCTTGTAAACAAGGTTGAAATATCTGTGACCTAATTGCAACAAGTATTTAGATCGCTGAATGCAGCACTCAGCAACACTCAAGAAGCTGCCTGTGAAATATCATTAACAGCTGATTGACAAACTGAAACCCTTGCAAAATCTTGTGAGAAAGATTCAGACTTCCAGGAGCTTGTTTTATGAAGGAGGAATGAAAAAAAGTAGGATGGCTGAGGCAGCAGAGCAATGCCTAGTGGTACTGCTGCCATTCCTGCTTAAAAGAGCAA